AATGAAAGAAAAGAGAGAAAAAGAAAGGAGAGAGAAGGCAAAGGAAGGCAAGGACAGTAAGGGAAAAGAAAGAGTTCCTGTTAGTAGTCCTGCAGAGCTCTCAAGTGAATCGGATTTTGCTGGCCGGATTAAAACTGTGTACTGAATTTGTACTTAGGTTTTTTTCCAATTATATGCCACAATATCTAATTTTAATGGTCAAAAAATTTGAAAGGTGTTCCCTTAATTCTTCTGTGGATTTGTGTTAACTATCAAATGGAATCTACTCTGATAAAACCTGGATTCAATCCAAATTTTTCTTTGAATTATTTACCTTATCTTATAAAATAATATCAATTCAAGCAGTGGGAACTATCAGCTTATCAAAAATCCTAATGCATTAGATGGAATCATGAAAGCTGCCATGAGTTTCAGGGCTCTGATTATTGAAAGTAGTAAAGATCAGCTTAGAGATACTTGAATCTTAATCCGTGAGTATTCATTTGGGAAGAACGCATACCTTTTTGATATTCTATTGAAAGCTACTAACCTTGTTTCTATGAAAGTGAAAACATGGCCATTCATGAAGACTGTAGATGCTATCCATACCCACCAATTAAATTAAATACCCTTAAATATTTAGTACTCTTTAAAAATGTTTCATAGATGAATGAAAATTCAAGTAATAATAAAGACATACCTAACTACAGTTGTAAAAACATATGTAGAATGCTGTTATAAATAATTTAAAGTTAATAATTTTAATGTGTTTGTCCAGCTAAAATAATAAACAATGACTACAAAAACATATTCAGGCAGTCCCCAACATTCATAGGTAGTGCATTCCTAAAATTGTTTGAAACTCAAATTTCTGAAAGTTGAACAGTTGAATTATGTCTTATGAGGAGAAATCTGTTATCAATAGCTAAGAAATGTGCTGAAATCCCTGGTGGTTTCTGAACACTGGGTTTAGGTACCCTGGAAGACAGAGGAGAACCCTCATCAGGAAAGGGCCCAAGCCTCCCCCTTTTTGCCCAAGAATGGATAAGTGAAACCCTACAACTCTCCTTCCCACAGACTGATGGCCTTTCTGTGGTCCCACTATAGGAATAAAGTTACCAGGTAGAAGCCAGGTAGGAGAAAGAGGTTTTGCTCTGCCTGCTGCCTTCCTCTTGCACAGCTGATTTCCCTAGTGCTCCCAGCCACCCTACAAAAAAATGTGAAAATAGCAGTGAAATAGAAAGAGAGGATGGGAAGGCACAGAGCCCTTTATTCTAGATGGGGAAACTGAACTAAAACCTCCGTATCTCCTGTAGTACAAGGGCTCAGAAAGGCCCTTTTGGCATTTAGGTGAGGTAGGCATTACTGAATTTCCTTGCAGGAAATTTAAGGAGTAAGGGGTCTGAGTGACCAAAATGCACATCTGCATTCCCCAGAGTCCACTGACTTCTTCCTAGTATGACCAACTTGGCAAGTGGCACCAAGGTAATAGCTTAAGGTCATCATTAATGTCCTCATATATGAAAGATCAACCTTAGCATGCTAAAGGTATCAAGATACAATGTTGAGAAGAGTGTGATGTATGAGACTGGGTTGTGAAGGCCTGGCTACCCTAGCCCTATTTCCTGTGCTGCCCTACTTACCTCATCTGAGCCTGGTGCCCCAGATTGAAAGCCCAAGGGTTTTTCGGACCTGCCATTTGACTTAGACCTGTTGACTTGACCGAAATTCCTATTGGTTTTATTTTTGATAACTGGAGTTTCCTCCCAAGTCACAGAAACTCCAGTTCCCATCCCCCTCTGCAGCACCTTATTCTTGCACTAGTCTCATTTTATATATCCTTTTGCTCTCCTGACTGAGAAAGGACTAGATTTCACACCTAATTAAAAGAGATTGTATTGCCTGCTGTTTCCTTTCTTGTTCATTTTCTCTTATGCCCAGGCAGCTTTTTATTCTCATGCTAAGTCCTATCCCTGGACCCCTGCAGTTTAAGGGACTGGCAGGAGCTGAATTCCTACAAAACAGAGAGCCAGGCCCTCTCCCACCTTCACCAGGCAGATTTTCCCTTCAGGACTAACCCCTGCTTCAGCCCCATACATTGTGCTCCCTCTTACAACATAGTCACTTAGAATACATCACCACATTCAGCATGTTTCTAGTGAATGCCATCACAGGCTGACTTCATGTTTTTTACTCTGGTGAAAGGAGTAGGTTATTATTTTAAAACACAGGGAACAATTTCTCTTTTATTACTTTGCATCAGTTTCACGTTTATACTATGGCGGGTTTTTTCAAGTTTTTCTTTCTTTAAGGTGGGGAGGCATCCTCAAATACACAAAATGTATGTAAAGTTGTGTAGCTTTATAGAGTTGACAGGGTTTGGGTTTTGGGGGAGGGGGGTGGTTGTGTGTGTGTGTGTGTGTGTGTGTGTGTGTTTTGAATAGCCCAAATGCCTATTCAGTGCCAATCTAGGAAAGAATAGAGTTAGCATTTTCACACCATTCCTTCCTATACAGACCTTGAATAACCATCTAATCAAGATGTGTTTTCAATGGGGACAAATCTTCTACAGTAGAGTATTTCAGATTTATTCCAATGGAATCTATACATTAATGCCCATTGGCTGAAAAGGACATGTTCACAAAAGCCTGGACTTTGCCTTGCTGTGGCAGAAACTTTTTCCCACTGTATTAGTGTTAAAAATGAAAGAAAGCCTGGGAAAGGAGTTGCCTCCACATTGTGTGCTGGAGAAATGAGGTGCGCTTGAATGGAGAGGCAGAGTCCCTCCCTCACATCTGTACCCATATCAGCAAAAAGCGATTCAGCCTTTCATGGCTGCTCATCACAGTGTGGGGCCAGAATACTTAGGAAGATGTTTAAGAATTATGTCTGCAAAAATCCAGCTAGGCTTATCAGATCAGCATGTATATGTGTATAAGTTTACATTTCTGTAGTTTTTAATGAAGTTGGTGACAACATTACTACAGTAATCATAACTCAGAATATTTAGCAGATAACTTGATTGTTTAGATTTACTTGACTTGCAATCCGATTTAGTCAAACAAGCAGTTTGAATTTTTCTCATGGAATGTGTGTGTATGTGTGTGTGTATCTGTGTGATACGACAGCTTTTGATGTTGACCATTTCTTGTCTCTAAAGCAATATCCATAACTTTCAATGTATTTTTTTATCCTACTGAGATAAGGATGGCTCTAAATCTAAATGTCAATTCAAGTTCCATTACTCAGAATCCAGTATATGCAGTGAAAAGAGCATCAAGAGGAATGGATTCTAATCCCAACCCTCTTACTTATTAGTTATGTAAAACTATGAGCAAGTCACTTAGGCATTTTGAGAACCCAACTTTGTCTTATAGCAAATAGGAATAATAAGACATATCCTGAAAACATAACAGAAGTAAATAAGATGTTACATTTCAGAGAGTTTGTACACCAAAATATTACATGGCTATTCATTGTTAAAATAATTGTGATAAAGACACTTCCCAGAATTATCTGAAAGAAGACAACTCAGTCATACATGACATCTCAACATCTCCAGTGTTATGCTATGATTTAAAGAATGTTCTCACCTGTTTAGATAAATCTGTTTTAGCCTGTAATCCCAGCTACTTAGGAGGCTGAGACAAGTTCAAGGCCAGCCTTAACAATTTAGTAAGATTCTGTGTTGAAATACACTAAAATGAATGGAGCTCTGTAGTAGAGCACCCTTGGTATCACCAAAAAAAATAAAAAATAAAAAATAAACAAATAAATAAGCCCATTTTACTCAGAGGTGATGATTTTACTGCCTACTATTTTAAATGAAAGAAAGACCTTAGTGATAATAAAATTATATATAGAAAACTCTACATTTTAGTATCAGGATGAGTTGTTTTATTTCTTGCATTGTTCCAAGAATGAGGAATCTGAAGAATGAGTTGGAGAGAGGAATTCTTGAGAGCCATCTGAGAGGTGATATAGAAGAATAGGAAAGCCATTAATGTGGATCTAAATGTTGTCATCATTATCCCTCATTTTCACAACCTGAAAATACAGGGGCAACAATGGATCAGGCTTACCATGGCCTCCACATTGCTGACTATTGTCTTCCTCTGGTAGCTGTTTTAATAGTTCCCTGGAGTATATGCATAGGGTACTCTGTTACCTAGGGCAAATGTATATCTCACCCATAGTTTACTCTTGCTGTTCTGGCCTAATTACTCTAATGTTCCCCTTCACTCTAAAAGTGCCCAGTGTAAATGTGATCACCTGGTATAATCCCATCTTCCAGATCAGCATACCCAATTTTTACCTTTTTAACATTCCCTTTACATTAAGCCTCAGAAAACCACCCATATTCTACATAACCATCTTAGAGAGTGCTCAGACAGGTTCTCAGAGATAACAATGCTCCTTTAACTAGCAGATTACTTTCTATAATCATCCATCGTATAGAAAACATGGTGGCAGCTGTTCAGTAGACATTGTAGCCTGGGTTGAATTTTCACATATGTGTTGTGCGCTATAGTATATGACATATAAACTAATAGGAAGGGGATTTATTTCTAAACTATGAATACTGGTATGTCTAGGAATAAAGGAAGTTTGAGAAATTGGCAGAAACAGAAACTTTCCTGAAGGACCTACGCTTAGACTTGTCTAAAATGAAAGTAGAGTGTTCCCTGAGAACAAGTCTTCCATTTGCCTCTCAGTTATTCCTTGCTGAAGTCATAGAAATAGCAGTCAAAAGATGCATCCCATTATTCAACTCACAATCTCAGCTGAAGCTCTGGACCAAGATGAATTCAATATCCAATATCTAGGGCACTGAGGCAGGAACTGGGAAAGAGCTCCAGACCTTGTTCCTTTAGGCTTCTATGTACAGTCTGCTCATCTCTCTGCCTGTGTCTGCAAGAAGGGTGATTCTAGCATTTCTCACCTGAGACATAGGTTTTAGGAAAACCATTAAGTTAGATCTGACACGTGCCCTGTTTTGTGTCTGCCTTGATGTACTGCAGGTGACATCAGTTGCAAGGGGATGACCGAGCGCATTCACAGCATCAACCTTCACAACTTCAGCAATTCCGTGCTCGAGACCCTCAACGAGCAGCGCAACCGTGGCCACTTCTGTGACGTGACGGTGCGCATCCACGGGAGCATGTTGCGGGCACACCGCTGCGTGCTGGCAGCCGGCAGCCCCTTCTTCCAGGACAAGCTGCTACTGGGCTACAGCGACATTGAGATCCCTTCGGTAGTGTCAGTGCAGTCAGTGCAAAAGCTCATTGACTTCATGTACAGCGGCGTGCTGAGAGTCTCGCAGTCAGAAGCTCTGCAGATCCTCACAGCGGCCAGCATCCTGCAGATCAAAACAGTCATAGATGAGTGCACACGCATCGTGTCGCAGAATGTGGGCGATGTGTTCCCAGGCATCCAGGACTCGGGCCAAGATACGCCACGGGGCACTCCTGAGTCAGGCACGTCAGGCCAGAGCAGTGACACGGAATCGGGCTACCTGCAGAGCCACCCACAGCACAGTGTGGACAGAATCTACTCCGCACTCTATGCCTGCTCCATGCAGAATGGCAGCGGCGAGCGCTCCTTCTACAGCGGTGCGGTGGTCAGCCACCATGAGACAGCGCTGGGCCTGCCCCGTGACCACCACATGGAAGACCCCAGCTGGATCACACGCATCCATGAGCGCTCACAGCAGATGGAGCGCTACCTGTCCACCACCCCTGAGACCACGCACTGCCGCAAGCAACCCCGGCCTGTGCGCATCCAGACACTGGTGGGCAACATCCACATCAAGCAGGAGATGGAGGACGATTATGACTACTATGGGCAGCAAAGGGTGCAGATCCTGGAGCGCAATGAATCCGAGGAGTGCACAGAAGACACCGACCAGGCTGAGGGTACCGAGAGTGAACCCAAAGGAGAAAGCTTCGACTCTGGTGTCAGCTCCTCCATAGGCACCGAACCCGACTCAGTGGAACAGCAGTTTGGGCCAGGGGCGGCCCGGGATGGCCAGGCAGAGCCCACCCAACCTGAGCAGGTCGCGGAAACCCCCGCTGATGGCGGCCCACAGCCAAACCAGCTAGAAACAGGTGCCTCCTCTCCAGAGAGAAGCAATGAGGTGGAGATGGACAACAGGGTCATCACTGTCAGCAACAGCTCAGAGAAAAGTGTCCTGCAACAGCCTTCAGTCAATACGTCCATCGGGCAGCCATTGCCAAGTACCCAGCTCTACTTACGCCAGACAGAAACCCTCACCAGCAACCTGAGGATGCCTCTGACCTTGACCAGCAACACACAGGTCATTGGCACAGCGGGCAACACCTATCTGCCGGCCCTCTTCACTACCCAGCCTGCAGGCAGTGGCCCTAAGCCTTTCCTCTTCAGCCTGCCACAGCCCCTGGCAGGCCAGCAGACCCAGTTTGTGACAGTGTCCCAACCTGGTCTGTCAACCTTTACTGCACAGCTGCCAGCGCCACAGCCCCTGGCCTCATCTGCAGGCCACAGCACAGCCAGTGGGCAAGGCGAAAAAAAGCCTTATGAGTGCACTCTCTGCAACAAGACTTTCACCGCCAAACAGAATTACGTCAAGCACATGTTCGTACACACAGGTGAGTGCTGGTTGCCTGGAAGCCTGGCAACAGGGGGGCTGAGGGAGCTATGGGAATGGAAGGACAGGACAGGAGGTGGAAGGGAAGGTTTGAAGTCATCTTTCAGATTTTAAAGAAACTCCACCACAAGCCCATTCTAGAAGCCCTAGCTGTGCCCAATCATAGAAATGAAGTACTCTACCACTGAAAGACAATCTCACAGAAACTCTATGTATAGTCGGAATGTCCTAGTGATGTGCAGCCTGCAGAAGAGAAGAATCAGGAATAATATAGACCATAGTCAAGTATTTAAGTTTCAGAGGCAGCATAATACAGTAGTTAAGAACTTGAGCCAGAACACTTGGATTTGGATTCAGGCTTAGCCACCACTAAAAGGTGACAACTTTGAGAAAATAACTTTTCTATTCTAAAGTTTCCTTGTCTGTAAAATGAGAATAATATCAATACACCTTCCTTATAGTGCTTCTTTTTGAGGATTATGTTAATTAGTATATATAAAATTCTTAGAAAAGCTCCTAGCACAAAATATGCACTAGATAACTGGTAGTTATTATTAGCATTATTAAGATGGCTCAAAGGAGGCAGACATTAAGTTTATTCTCTTCAGCTCTAAAAAATAGAACTGGGCCCATGATTGAGAGCTCCAAGGAGTCTTTCAACTAACTAGAAAAAGAAATATAGTTATCCCTAACATGGGATAGACTGCCTCCGAAGGAACTGGTTCCTGTAGTGAGAGGTATTTAAGGACAGAATGGATGATCATTTCACAAGGATGCTGTAGAGAGGATTCAGTCATTAAGATGGGCAGGATAGGTGTTTCTCTGGATTCTATGACTCCAGAGCAAAGCTCTCCTGACATCTCCACTGGTACTTTTTCCTAGCTCCACAATGGGACAGACATAGAAGTGGGAAATCCATGGATATGCCTCCATATAAGTGGCCAACTGTATGACTAAGATTTCACATAGACTCTCTTATACCTAAAAATACCTTTGTAATACCATTGTAACAAGCCCCGATTCCTGCTGAAATTGAGAATCATTCCTATGGAGGACTGAGCCTGGGTGATTAGGATAGCATTAGGTTGCTTCTATTACATAACATTATTCTTTAAAATTCAACTAAGAAGAATCTGTGTGCATAGAAAAGTAAATCTCTCAAATATGAGCATTGAGCTAGGTCTTCCAAACTGCATAGGTGTCATGGCAAATATAACCCTCTAGTATTTAGAAGTACTGACCTGTTTTATCATTATGTGGACATTGTTGAACATTCTCATTAGAATGTAAACTCTGTGAGAGCCGAAAGACATACACACATTATATATATATATATATATATATATATATATATATACACACACACACACACAATATACATATATATGTAAATAATACCTTACAAATAAAAAATATTTAATAATACTTAGTCAATGGATGAATCAAACCCTTCTCTAATGATGTCTAACCACTTCCAAAAGTATTAGTGGTCTATTTCCACAGAGTTGTTTATTTATTTTATGATGTACCTCCACAGAAATAGTGCAGAAAATACCTTGCAGATTTATATATTAAATACTTTTTCCAAGGGTCTAAATACGTTTCAGATATCATATTCCATTTATTCTTACCTTGCTTTAGGTAATAAAATAGCACATGTAATAATCAGAATGACCAGTATGGCGTCTGGGTTATTTATTAACCTCTGGATATAGAATTGCTAGACTTTAAAAAAAATAGGACAATTAATTAAAGAGGACTTTCAGATAAACAAGAAGTAGATTATTAGAATATGTCCCATGCAAAATTTGTGATGTACTTATATTAAAAATTATTTGCTATTTATCTGAAATAAATATTTAACAAGGTGTCATATATTTTAGCTGGCAACCCTTTGCAGGTGGAACTTTCTTTTAAATTCCAAACTTTGGACTTTTTGCTATAAATATCTATAAATGAATATGGGCTAGCATATGTAGTTGCTTAGCAAATGTTTGTTGAGTGAGTATGTAAATGACTGTTTAAAAATGTGGGCATGCTTTCCAGGAGAACTTAATTCAAGTGACTTATACATAAATGCATTCTTTTCTCAGAAAGACTTTTAGATTTTTTTTTTATTTTCCTTTTTCTTTCTTTAAAATTAGCTACAGAATATATTGTACAGATATCTGTTCCCACTGCCCCCCCACCACAAAAGATAGATGTTTTTGCTTTTTCTAAATCATATTATTAATAGTTTTTAGTCCACTGATACCCTCTGCACATAACATAATTTTGCTTGTTGCTTTGAGAAGCTTAGCTATTTCAGTCATGAATTCAATGTAAATAGATAAAGTTATAGGAGTAGCAAAACAGTATTTGCAGGGGGATAATAATAGGGATGCCAAGACAATAATAATCCTTATATAGAACGTGTACTATTAGTTTTATCAAACCATTGGGGCTAAAGGAGTGAGTTTAAATTTTGGAGTAAGAAAGCCTTGTTTCTACCATTTTCTGAGCAAGAGACATTAGACAAAAATCTAGGTTCAACCTGAACCTCAGTTTTTCATATCTTAAATAGTACATATTTTATATGGTTGCTCTTAGAATTAAGTAATTTTTGTGAAAGCACTTAAGTATAAATAGTGTAAAGTTATCAAAACCATTTAGGAACATATATATGTTATGTTATGTCACAACAGCATGATATATTTTGCAACATAACCTAGAAAGCAAGAAATTATTAACAGGGAGAAGGAGATAATCTAGTGGGGCTAGCATCTTACTCTCTGCTATGATTTATTTGTCTGGGAATCTTCAGGATGTTAGTACTACTCTAATTGGAGCTACCACTTTCTGGGGATGTTAAAATCTACCCATGCATAAAGTTGTAAAAGAGGTCAGGTGATGTGGATGAAGTTCCATGAGATCTTTAAACATCTGCTTACCACCAAAATATTTTAGCTATCACTGAAGCCACAGATGTTTTATGAATGCAGTGTGTCCCCAGTAGGCAATCCCCCTTAGACAGTCACCAATAACAGGCCAGAAGAGCTGGCAGGCAATCAGATTATCTGTATCTCAGGAGTGTGGGCCCTCTTCTGACCAGATTTCTCTGGGTGGAGAGCAAACTCAGTGAAAGCTGCATATAATTCCATTGGGGTAGACTTCTTTTGTTGATACTGAGCCTTTCTTATTCTCTGGTCCAGTATTGATTTTCCCCATTCAGAGGACCTGCACTTTCCAGAACACCCCTACTCTCCCCTTTCTCTTCCTCTTCCTTCCTTGCTCCCTGCTACCTCATCAAGCACCCTGTCTTGGTTTTCTGACCCCTCATTGTGCTCATCTGAAGAAGAGAGCATTGTGCTACAACAGAGGAGAGTCAGAGAGAGTGGGAGAGGCAGGTAGAAACAGTATTTCTAAAAATATCCTGATAATAGCCTTTGCTGTCCTTTTTACAGCCCAGGAGAAACCTGGAAAGAATGAGAAAGAATCAGTAGAATAAGTGACTTCTTGCTGAGCCTCCAATAGGGTGTCTTGGCCCATCAGGATGGCTTTACTGGAACTTTGTGAGCTTTGGGCAGAGCCTTCTACAACTACTAACCTAAGTAGTGTCTTTCTTTTCCCTGTTTGTTCCCCCCCCCCCCACTTGTCAGTTATAGTCAAGTAAGTAAGTATCAGAGCTGGTCCATGAGGAGTTGTAGAGCAGGTATTGAAAAATGGAGAAAAATATAAACTTTCACCACTCTCTCATCCTTGAAAAGGCAGTGAAGGACACAGCCTCTGCCCTCAATTTCTTCACCTGCTGTTTAGTTTGTCTGCCTCCACTGCTCGGTTCACTGCTTGCTAGAGAATTCTTTCTCTATGTTATTTGCTAACATTTTATTCATGGTACCTCTTCTTTTTTCTAATGACTTGCATTATTGATTATCAGAAATGATTTTTTAAATTCTGGATTGGATTCCTATGTCATGCAAGTCATTTCTCAGTTGGTTTCACTTATCCTCAGTTTCTTTGTGCAGTATGGAACAGTTTACTTTTTCTAAAAATGCTGCATACTCTGTGCTAAAGTGCTTTATCTCTTTAATTTTCAAAACAACTTCTCAAGGCAGGTACTTTCTGCATTATTCTCAAGTTATAGATAAGGAAACCAAGGATTAAAGAGGGTAAATAACATGCCCAAGTCACCCAGCCAGGGAAATGGATTTCATATCTGGATTGTTCATCTGTATAGGTCCTAAATGGATCATTTAAAAGTGAAGGGGCTCGAATGAGCTTGCCTTTCGTGTTATAATTCAAAAGTATCCACTTTGTACCTTGTGTCCCTTTCTAACAAACCATACTTGCCATTTCTGATAATAGGCTCAAACCTGGAAAGCCATCTACTACTATTTGTCTTCACTTTTCATTTCTTCATTTGGAAAGCAACAGTCAGCAGACAACATCCATTTCATGTATAGTGTCTAAAGCCCTCTAGGGACTGCATTATCACATACAGAAAAATATTGAGACTGAAAAATATTTACATTCCTGTTGAGTGATATTGTTTCAAATCTATATATTTGGAAAAGGAAATTGTGGGCACCTGACTAATCTGAAAACACACCCCATTTAGTAAGACAGTTCCTGAAATGCCTATGCTCACCATCACACAGCACCTAGTAATTATAGAGAGCACCTTCCTTTAGGGAGCTCCCCAGTGCTTTGCAAACATTTTTCCTCATTAACTAGCATACCATTTTTTCTGTGCAGGGAAGGGAACAAAATACTTTGTCCTATTTAAAATGTGGGGCTGCAAATGCATTGAGGGATTAAACAGGTTGCCCTCAGGTCATTTAATGACAAGGTCAGAACTGGATTCTTCCAGGGGTTGTGGGCCACTCTAAGCAGAAGACCAGGAAATCGGCAAAGGGCCATGCAAGTGCTTGGTCCAACTCTTCACTTAAAGAAGGCAGAACAAAACCAGAGAGATGAAAACACGTAAGAAGCCCAGGGTCGTGCGAATAATTAATGGCAAAACTGATACTACAAGCATACCAACAGCACACACATATATGCTATAGAGGGAAGATGACAACTGTAAAGAATCAATTTATAGTCAGATTAGAAGGGTGTGAAAGTAAAAAGCCTTCACCAATGACCTTGCCTAGAGGCAAAGCATACAGTTAGAAGGTGAAAGTTTCAAATAGCAAGAGCGTTTTAACACAGACAAAGTTTCAGCTTCCTAGCAGCCAAAATACCATCTGGAACTTAAGGCACGCTTCCCATTAAAGGTGACAGGTGGACATGTTTTAAAAGATAGTTGGCCAGCCTATCATAGCTGCTATAAATTGTACTGAAAGCACAAGGATAGCAAAGACCAGCTGAGTTCCAAGCATGTTTACAGCTGACAGAAATGTTTCAACTAAAAATAACATGCATGACTATCTCTTTTAGGGAATCTCCCATTTCAAAAAAAATTTACCAACGTAAACACTATGCACAGACTGAGCTCTTTAGCAAACTGAGATTATTAGCAGTGAGTCTTCCCTAACTTCTCCTATTTTAGTCTAAAAGTAAAATTCTTCTCTTCTAACCCTGAGATCCTATGCATCATATTTATCCCATCAGTGTGCATCAAAACAAATACTTTTGTTTGAAAACACAACAATGACAACAACAACAACAACAACAACAAACTGTCCAATGAGAGAAATTTCACAAAATGGATCATGAACATAAAGCACCAAACACCAAACCTAACACATAGTAAGCACTCAGTATATGGTGATTGTATTTATTGCAGTTATTACCACAACATGTCAAACCTCCTGTCTTGTTTAATGGAGAAAACAGAAACACAGTCAAGACATATATTATAAATGGAAGTTAACTCAAATTTAAAAGTAAATTCCTTGCCCTGCTACCTAGTTTAGTTGTAAAGATATTACCTTAGTGAGTTTCAGGCTTTGGGCCTTAGGCTGGGTCATGGAAGAGTATGTAAAAGGAACTTTCTGCTCTGAGATAGGTGCCCACATTGATAATCGGAAATGAGATGGGAGAGATAGATCAAACACCTTAGTGCAGTTTATCTTACCTGTTAAGAGCAGAGAACAAGAGCTGAGAACAGTCAAACAAAAATAAGTCTTTATGTAATGATCCAAGGAGATGTTACAGACCCATGGACTTTATTTACAGAAGAATACCTCATGTCATCATTCAGTGACTGAGTATTCTTACACACCTTATTTTTAACTAGCTTGATCATTTGGTTTCTAAGCCAATGACAGACCAAAGCAGTAAACACAGGAGGAAAAGGGCCTCTGCCAGTAGGCTCAGAAAAAAGAAAGAGACAGAAAAACTATTTTAGAAATTGACCTAAGAGTTCAAAAAGCATATGGAACCATTTAATGGGGAAGGAGGTGGCCTTGTAATAAGAATACCATGCAAGTATTCCCACACCGCCCTTGGTGGTCTGCAAAGTGATTTCATATGTATTTTATGCCAACACCAGCACAATGAGGTAAGTAAAACTGTATACCTCGGAGGCATATAGTGATTTGTCAAGTGGCATACAGTGTGTTGGTGCCTAGATTTAAACAGGGCCATTTGACTCTAAGATCATGGTGTTCTCCAGCACCCCCTCAACTTCCACCCCTGGCAAAGCCAATCTCTGCTCAGTATAGTTAGTGCAGAAGAGCCAGTTAATTCTTTAGTTACATTTTAGGAACATTTCTGCCTTAAAAGAGGTAAAAGAGAAAGCCTAACTCTTCAAAACGACATATTCCTATGTTGGCAAATCTTTTCCAGACTTACATTTGTCATAGGAACATTTTCTAGGCAAAACAGTGGAGGGGGGAGGGGGGGAATCTTTCCCAAAAGATCCAAACTATATGATCAATATTTCTAATTCCCAGAGATTCTAGAACCCCCTGTTCCAAGAATCTTTCTCTTATTTCTTATATTTGTTTGATAATGTTAAAGGGTAAACAGTTAAATCCCTAATGATGACACTGAAAATGAGCCCTTATTAAGCAACCCTCCCTCTTCTCCACAGAATGAATGACTTTGAAGACTTTTAGTGGGGAGTATCTTGTAGCTTTCCAAGACAGCTGGTTTTTGGCATGGGGACATGGAAAATTTATTTGGTGATCTGGCATCCGTTAGCACAAGATTTCTCTGAACAGGAAAGCCCAGGAAGGCCTGGATCTTTCCAGTCAAGGATGACCCATTCCACAATCAGATTTTATTTTTTATAATTGTTTTATTTTTCTTTTTTGTTGTCTTGTTTTTCTGTCTCTCATTCTCCCACCTTGGCTGTGTCTCGCTCTGTCCTGCTTGCTGTCTCTTCCCACACCCACAGGTGAGAAGCCCCACCAATGCAGCATCTGTTGGCGCTCTTTCTCCTTAAAGGATTACCTTATCAAGCACATGGTGACACACACAGGAGTGAGGGCATACCAGTGTAGTATCTGCAACAAGCGCTTCACCCAGAAGAGCTCCCTCAATGTGCATATGCGCCTCCACCGAGGGGAGAAGTCCTATGAGTGCTACATCTGCAAAAAGAAGTTCTCCCACAAGACCCTCCTGGAGCGACATGTGGCCCTGCACAGTGCCAGCAACGGGACCCCTCCAGCGGGCACACCCCCAGGTGTCCGCGCTGGTCCCCCAGGTGTGGTGGCCTGCACAGAGGGGACCACTTACGTCTGCTCTGTCTGCCCAGCAAAGTTTGACCAAATCGAGCAGTTCAACGACCACATGAGGATGCATGTGTCTGACGGATAAGTAGTATCTTTCTCTCTTTCTTATGAACAAAACAAAACAAACAAACAAAAAGAAATAAACAAACAAAAAAGCTATGGCACTAGAATTTAAGAAATGTTTTGGTTTCGTTTTTACTTTCTGTTTTTGTTTTTGTTTCTTTTCATTTTGTACTACATGAAGAACTGTTTTTTGCCTGCTGGTACATTACATTTCTGGAGGCCGGGTGAATAATAGTTTTCCCAGTCTCCCTCGGATGGTGGCCTTAAGGCCTGGTAGTACTTCAGGAGGTCCACTGGTTGGATCTCTAGCTACTGGCCTCTAAATACAACCCTTCTTTACAAAAAAAAAAAAAAAAAAAAAAAATCTTTTAAAAAAGTAAAAAAAAAAAAAAGAAAAGAAAAAAATTTTTTCACTTGTGAAGAGCACTACAAAATATATAACAAAATCTAAAAGGCCTACTGTCTTTAAGTACACCGCTTGCAGTGTTTCAGTGGACATTTTCACAATTCTGGCCGCTTGGACTTTACAGTAACCAGTTAAAACTGTGGAATATCACTTCTGGTTGAAAACCCAGAGGAAAGGCCCTGCTGTTTTCCACCTACCACGTTGTCTGATTTCATAAAAGGGCTGTGGGGGTGGCAGGGGGAAGTGGGTTCAGGAGTGTGGGAAAGAACGTGGAATGGCAGCCTTCTCCCCCAGATTCTGCCGTGTCCACACACCTGGCTCACCTCCTCCACATCCCCCCTCTCAGCAGAAGCCAGGAAGACTTGGAGAAGCAACAAGCAACAGTGGCTATCGTATTTATTCAGTGTCTTCGCTGAGCCTCAGCCTCAGCACAATCAAGAGGGACTTTCATGAAAGGCAGAAATGCAGATAAAACAAAGATATCAGAGATTTGCACCTATGTTTCTAGGTACAAGAGAAGGATTATTTCCAACAATCTTTGCAAAAAAAGAAAAAAAAAAGAAAAAAGAAAAAGTGTCAGGATATATTCTTGTGGAAGAGAAAAAGAAAGGAATGGAGGGTGGGGGGAACAATAAAAAGTTCTCGAGGCTTTTTTAATTCAGAATTTTATAGAGGGGCAAAAGTGACGTTTACCAGATAGAATGCTGATTTTTTTAATATATTTACAACAGTATTTGTGTAAAAAAAAAAACAAAAAAGTAAGATTGTTAAAAGTAATTTTTTTTTATTTTGGTTTTGCATACACTGCCACCAATCCCTTCTCTTTTATTTTATTTCACACACATATATATATTTTTTTGGTAAGTCAAGACTGTTAAGGTTAGCGATACTGCTTCCAGATAGAAAGAATTAAAGGCAACTAAAGTTATATTTGAAAGAGAGGAAGGTTATTTTCTTCATTTTTTTTTATTTTTCTTAATTTTTATTATTTTAAGTATTGCCTGGGTTGATGAGGGCCTCTGTAGCCCGCCCATCCCTGCTGTAATTTGAACTGCTGCTTTGTATTTTGATATGTAGTTTTTTGACTTTTAGCAAGCTTAAGTTGCTCCACTGAATATTTTCTTTCATTGATCCATCTAGAATTCTGTTCTCTTTCATGGGAGGGACTTTATCTTTTAGAAGCAGTTTTCTTGCTTCTCCAATATTTCATTGAGCTCTTATGAATCTAGAGTTTCTGTTGACTGCTTTTTTCTTTGATGAAACACTAGTAGTCTAGATGTCTTGACAAATGGGTTTGTCTCTTTTGTGGTCAGCCAGGAGGAGGACTTCACAGAGCCCATACCTCCTTCCCCCTTCAGAACCTTACAAGCACCGCTATGAGAAGCCTGTTACAAAATATGATATGTTGATGCCAAAATTACTTTCTTCCTTTCTGATGTCACCTTCTGACTCTTTCCACCATGGCTACGAGGGCTAAATAAGAAGATAATTCATTAGATGAGTTATTAATCTTTGCTTTTTGGAAAAGTCTTAGGGAAATCAACCATTTTCCTGATGCCAACATCCACCATTCAAAAGGCCACCAATCTACTGCATCTTTCCAGGTGCCACTCTCTCTTCCTAGTTGGGATTTCTCTCCTCCGCCTAATCAAGATATCATCATAGAGATTTTTCCATGGTAGATTTTTCCATGGTTTTCTATTTCCAACAAAAATAGAACTTTTTAAACCTAATAATACTCCCAAAGTGAACAACAGGCATATTTTAACATACTTAAAGGGAAAAGTCAATCTTGAAACAAAGCAAAAACACTAAACTACAACTTTAAAAAGAAAGGGGAGGATATTTTAGATTCAAAATTACTCTACATTTTAATTTAATTTTTCTTCTAATTTTCCTGTGTTTTATTTACAAAATCCATGCAGCACATGAGGGAGAATCTTCCAAGGCAAGCAACTCTATAATGACTAAATTGGTTTTATTCATATATTTTAGATATTTGTTTAACTTGGATGTTTTCCATAAGTTCTTTGTGATGTTTAGTAGAATTCGTGCAACTGGAGTATTTGTGAGTTTGATTTGTCCTACAGTAGATATTTTGCTAGAAGTTTTAATGTAGACTTGGATGGTAAACTGGCTACTGAGAATCACCCATTATGATTTCTAAGAGGAATTCTACCAAGGAAACTGTATCTAAAACTGACCTGTAAAAGTCAATGAGAAACGGCTTCAGATATATGAAAAGTCCATTTTTCTATTGCCAATTTTGCCTTTTAAAATATCAATATTGACTCTAATATTTCCATTAACCACCAATAGAGGGAGCATTAATTAACTATGCCATGGAATTGCTTGATATTTTGGAAAACAAGTCATTCAACCCATAAAATAAAAGATTAAAATTGAAGGGAAAAAATTTTAAAGGAAAATGATGTGAAATCATTCAGCATCTTTCAAATGAAAGAAGGCCAAAAGACACTTTAAAATATTTTCAATTATTTGACAGTAATAGATTAAAAAAGTGTCTTTATGCTCACCTTAGTAGTCAGAATCATAATAGCTCCAGAAAAGCTGATTTTGAGTGCTGTTTGGGTCATGTTTAGCTGACTGCTTCTCAAATCTGGGGGAGACCCATTTGCCTTAATGCTAATTTGCTGTTCTAAAAAAGGTAAGCAAGTGGGTTAAAATCCACCTTTTGTTGTAGAGCATATAAAGAAAAAACTACAAGTGACTTGAAGCCCTAATGTTCACTCTTTCCTGGTAAGGAAAGTATCTCTTTAAAAAAAAACATTGGGGGCCCCAAAAGAATTGTTAGTGAGGTGATTTAATCACCACAAAATGGACCGCCAGGTTTGGATGGCATAGACTTGTTCCCACTGTGTCTTTTCCTCCCAAACATGCAGCCTAAAATAATTGACAAATTGTTCTTTAAGAACAGGAGGAAACTAAACTGGAGTGGGAATTCTATCCTGGGGGAGCAAAGAAGCTCTGAGAGGCTATTGCTGTATGTCTGGCCTCTAAAGAGCTGCTTTCCAAATTGACCCATATTTAGAAAATAAACGAGTCTGTACCTATTTCAAAAGAATGCAGATGCTTTCAGATTGCTAACCCACAATCACAAATAAACCATCACAAATATCTCAGGCAATAGAAAAACATATTTGGCCTCAAGATCAGAGAATCATTATGGATTCTTTAGGGTTTTTTTTTTGTTTGTTTTGTTTTTTGGGTTTTTTTTTTTTTTTTTTTTTTTTTTTAGTTTAAATCCTATAATTTCTTACATTTAGACCTTGAACCTAGAATGCTATCAGTACTAAAAGAAAAGAAAATTCCTTTTAATAGCCAGGAAAAAGATAAGATTGAAGCAGATCTTCCAAATTTAAGACCTCTTAAGAGGAGTACAGGGAACAAGAACTGGCATGGAAAAGAACATTTTTTAGCAATTTATAGTTTTGAAAAGAATTTGCTGGACAAAAGAAAGGGAGAAAGTCAAAAGGGAGTGTTTATCTCAATACATTAAGATATACTCTTTGAAAAATAAAATCTTCTCGCACCAAAAACATTGGTAGTATCTCAGTATAGTGGGCAATTTTTTTTTCCTATTAAATACCAATATTTGTGCATAAAAGACCCCCTAAGAATCTAAAATGTAACCCTAAAAAGGAAATAATTATAACACATGGGTTCTACAATGGGGAAAAATTGGAAAACAAGCCAGCACTCCCCCCCCCAGAAAAAAATTGAATTATTTTTTACTATATATTTTAATTGAGTTGTAAACTTTCACTCCTTATAACACTTTTATAGACCTCTCCCTTCCCGAGTTCCTAATACTTTGAATTTATTTGTGTCCAGAGTATGCATAGTGAATTCCCAGCTCATTCACAGGTGCAGACCATTCCCTTCTCCTAGCCACCTTAAGAGGTCACAGTAGCTCTTAGAAAGACTTGGGGTTTCTTTATTAAGAAGTCACAGAGGTTTCATTTGTATCATCATAATATTCTATAAGAACCAAGAAAACCTTTTCAAACCTATGAACAGGGAGAATTTGTGCATTCTGATAATGAAAAACGAAGAGGCTTCCTCTGTGTTTGTGTCACTTTAAGTTCTAACACCTTGCTCCACAAATACTTCCATCATGCAAACACATAAGCACTATGTACCCTGCTCATGCCACCAAATCAGTGTTTTCTCTCATCACACAATCAAAAATGAGGTGTGTCCCTTATCAAATCCCTCAGATCCCCAGGAAAACATAATAAAGGCTCACATTGCTTACTTGTAAAGAAAACTTGGTGATGCTTCTAACACCTTTTGCCCTTAGGAAAGGGGGAAGGGAGGTAGATCTGGCTGGGCATGATAGATGTGCCCCTTCTGGAACCTTCCTCTGTTGTTTCTGAAGATGTTATTTGATTAGTTGGGGCTGGGGGCAGGGGATATATGATTCTGCAGAAAAGACATCAGATGGTGGCATCAGACATGCCTCTGCTATAGCCAGTGTATGCTGTAGACAGGGAACAAAAGGAAGGTGACATGCAGAAGCAGACACAACCTGAGATGCCCTGGGGACCGAGAACAGGAGGAGGCTCTTTCTATGTGACTTGATTCTTAAAAGAAATCTTCTAAAAGAATTTATTAATTTAGTAATGAGTTGAAGTCCAGGGTAATGGAAGCTCTGGGGAAGAGAACAAAAGAATTGCAAAATATATTCAGAATCTGACAATACTAAACCAGGAAACATCCAATAGCAAAACTAGGAAGTTTGGCAAGAGGTACTTAGAGAAATCTCTGGGTTTTTCCTTGGGTAGGGTCAACAGAGTTTCTTTTGAGTGATTTCTGACTCTGAGGAACTTCTTTACTCATTAGAAAAGAACTTTATTTAAATAATCAATTTTGTTCCCCAGAAAAAAGAAATTAAAAAATAATAATGAAAGGGAGAAAAAAATAGAACACCAGAGACAGAACCAAGTGACATAGTGACAAACAAAAGAGGGTGCACGAGAATTTCAATAGACCCCTTAAGACCACAGAGAAAGCAAAATGACCCAGTGGCCCAGGTTCCCCCTCTCAGTCTTCAGTGAATCAGAAAGCCTTGAATGGACCCAGTCACGGGGCTTTCTGAAACTAGACAGAACTTCCCAACGGGACCACCACAACCTTTTTCTCCTTTCCATGTTTTTCTAAAGAAAAGTGTTGTTTCCTTAGGTACCCAGAAAATAGATTACGTGGGGCAAACTTTCCAAAGCAATCTCTGCCCAGTGCTCTAACTACATAGGAGGACAGAAAGGGGGCACACAAAAAAAGAGGCCCTTTGGAGAGAATATATTTTTTTTATTCCCAAAGGCTTTCTGTATAACATTCTTATTTCTGATGCCATTTAAACCCCTCCAAGAGGAAAGGTTGTGGTGACTTCGTGTTCCTGTAAACACAGCATGTGGAAACTGTTAATCCAAAGCATCATTTCTAGCACTGGGTATCAAGATGATCAGCCTGACCACAATACCCCAAAGATTTTTTAAGTCTCAGAAGACCTTTTTTTCCTCCTTGAACACTGAATCCATAGTAATCAGAGGTGTATATGAGCAGATCCCAGGAAGTGACAATGAAACAGTAGTATTTTTCCATTCTTTTTAGGGCAAATAGGTAGAAGATGACTGCTGCATAGCACTAGTTCTTTTCCAGAACTAAGTGTTTCCTCCTCTCTGAATGAGAGGTAAAAATGCCCTGGGTCAAAACAAGAAAAATCATCCTTCCACACCACTGAAACAGTCTGTCATTCCAGTAGCTTCTTTAGGCCCCACCTGTTGCTCCATAGACGGAATACTTTCAGACTGAAATATCTAATCTGAAGTGACCTCAGTTAAGGTATTTTCACAAGTAGCCACTTATAGTACAGAATTATTGCCTTAAGTCAGAACTCCCAGGGAAGAGGACAAAAGACACAGAAATTGGAAGACTGTGAAGAAATGGACATTTCTTGCTTTTTAGTAGTTGCATTATGGCAAAAATAAGCCCTGTTCATGACTGAGGACTCTAGAAGCAGTGACTTCTTGGGAAGGCACCAAAGTTGTCCAGAGTTGGCCATTCTCAGGAAGTGGCTGGTATTTTCTCTCTACTCATTTTCATTGATAGGTCTGGACTGAATGTAAAACAAACATCATATTGCTAAATAGTGACTCCCATAAAGCATGATCACAGGTCCCTGGGATGCCGGTTTCAAATATTTTCTTAACAGGGAGAACAATCCCAACAAAAAGCTTTCTTTTTGGTGTATATCTCTCAACTCTTTTCCCTTTGGGTTTTGGAGTGCATCTGTTTTATCTGGTGGTTCTTTGTAAGTGCAAACTCTGAACTTGCACATCTTCAGTGACAGAGCATAATCTGCAGATCATGAACAAAATCTAGCCACCATCCTGAGAGTCTCAGCTTCTGGGATATCTGTTTGGGGTATAAGAGTCCCTACTTAACCCTCTTCAGATTCAGAGATTCCTTGGTTCAGAATGCCTCAATGAGAGGCTGATACACCTAAGATAGAAAAAAAAAATTAACCCCATTTTCAACAGGTACCCACAACATCATTGCAGTTTATATGTAGATTCTAGTAATGAAAGGGTCTTAACTCATCCAGTGTGGCAGAGCTATTGTCCAGAATGTCTGTACATCATGCATGTGCACATGCATGTGCATATGCAATGTGAGGTGCTCTTAGTTCAAAACTATTCCACATTCATATTCTCTAGTGACAGCAAGAGAGATTTTGGAATTCCAGTTAGAAGTCAAAGGTCTAACATATCTCACATACCCGCTTCTGCTCTGTTGCCTTAGTTGGGTACATTAGTATCTGTGATGAGGCTTAAGGGCATTCTGAAGGAGCCCAACCATCAATAATTTCTACTTAGCCCTTTGAGGAGAAACTTGAAAAAAAAATGCTACACTTCTATTGGATTTACTGATGTGTGTGTGCATGTGTGTGTTTGTTTATATTTATTGTTGTCTGGGGGTGTGTGTGTACCTCTCAAAAGAAGCACACACAAGCAGAGGTCCTGGTACATAGATGCAGTTGTCTCTTCCCACCATTGTGCCCAAATTTGTGGCTCCCTTCCCAGGAAGTAGTCACCTGCCCACTCTTGCCTTTTGCAGTGTTCTGGAATTGGAAGAAATAAAAGTAGTTTGTTGACCCACAGAAAACCCACAGGGACATGCTGTTTTCCTCCAGAAGAAGGTGGAACATAAGCACCCAACTGGGGAGCAGAACAGAGGGAGTAGCAATTGAGGGCACCTTACCAGGTCTCTTGGAGCAGGAGGGATATTGAAGTCAGGCAGGCAAGGTCCATGCAAACTTTGGCTTGAGCCATCCATGGCTCAGAGGCCTCCATTTCTTTCTTTTCTGAAACCCAGTGTGTGTACACACTCACACACAAGAGCCCACATGTGCGTTTTGACTCCCAGATGAAACCTTCTTAATGCTGCCTGCATTTGCAGGATCTTGTCATCATTCACAAACTGTCTCCTGAAACCAGTGTGGCCTTTGCCAAAGTCTTTCCAAGAGTGGGTTGTTTACCATGTCTAGCAAACCAATAGACTATCGGGAATATTTGAGGGGAATCTCTAAGAATTGATGGCTCTTGTCCATCTCAAACATTAAAGTAGAATGTCACTCTAGTGTAATATACTGGATAAATGGACCTGGCTCTTGTCGCTGACTCTTATGGCTTGGTGGTCTGGAAACAGATTCAGTTTTTTGACTTCATGCCCTCCTTTTACTATATGGTTTATTGTTTTTTATGACACGTAGATTATTTTTACTTTACAGATTTCAGAGGACATTTTTCTTTCCTCTTCTATTTTGGTGACTTCCCCCACCCCATGAAGTAAGGCTACTTACAATTGCAACTTTTTTGTTATTAAAAAATGTATATTGTCTTTCTATATCCAAAAGAAGTCTGTGACTGTAACCACAGGTATTTCTTTTTACTGGAAAAAAAATGAGTTTTGTTTTTGTTTTTGTTTTTAATTAACAGTACTAGTGACTTTGTGGAAGAATATGAGTTACTATTTAGGTATGCTTACTTAAGTACAGTACACTACATTGCAGTATTTCTGAAACCTAGAAACATACACACTATATATAACAACTCTATATTGAAATATATATTACATTATATTCATTTTGACTTTTGAATCTGCCTATGATCATGAGTTGATTGACATATTATTTCTTTGCATATATCACCCATCACCAACCTGCTGCAGTTAATCTGGTGCATTTAATAATAATCATTACTGCTCTAGTTTGCTTTTTATATTATCAGCTTCAGTATTGTCTTTAGAGGATTTTAGGATTTTTTTAAAGCTCAGACTTAGCAAAATGTAGGAAAGTGAAAACTTTTTTTTTTTTTTTTTTTGGTGTGGCTAATGCAAAGAGGGTTCATATTCTAAGTGATCTTGTTGAGCTGACCCTCTCAATATCTGAAGAACAAAAGTGCATATGAATGTATCTGTGATTTTCCCCTCTAGGACTGTCATTGTCTATATTTGCTTCTAAAAATATGACCAAGGGGCTGCTCAACCTTCAATAACCTGACCAAATAACACAGGCTGCATTTCAAAGGGCTGCTCTTGTGAGAAGCACAGGACAGGGAAATGCCTAGTTGTCTCAGCTGTATTTTCAAACATTGATTTTAAATACCAGTTCCTTACTGACTACTTTCTGTTTTCAATATGCTTTCAATTATTTTAACAAGTCTTCAACATTTCCCTGGAGGTAGTTTGGCAATATAGTGTTCATCTTCCCAGGAGATTTCTTTTTAAACTAAAGCCAGACTTTGAGGAAATTTTTATTGACAGAGGTTAATATAGAGCTCAGAAATATATATCACATTTTTCAGTCTTTAGAATCCATAAAATAGTGGCTCTTGGGTATCTGGCCCTCAGAATCTCCACTTGCCCAGTAAGGTGGGGATTTGGTGCCTTTCCTCTTGAACAGGCCCAACGAACTTTCAGAAGTCAGGCATCCTGTCTTCCTATATAAGAATTACTTTTAGATAGTGTTTCGAGATTAAAGAGTTCCTTCAGCTTCCCTAAGCTCTTCAACCCAATGGCTGGGAAATGTTAGAGTTGGATCAGCTTTTCATCTATCTTGGGCTCATGAGACCTGTCTAATTCCTGCCATTCTATATTCAGGACAAATCAAAACAGCTATTCATCAAACTCTTGCCTCAGACCAACATTAATGTTTCTCAGTGTGAGCATACCAATTCATTTCTTCTGTCTTCCCTCAGAGATTAATTTCTGATCCCATCCTAGCCATACCTGACCAGCCACTGTCTGCCCCTACCCTGCCCAACCTCTCCCTAGTGTCCTGAAACGCATTAAGGCACCACCCACTCTTAGTCTGCTTTGAAAGGGCGCACATTGAGTCTAAGAGTGAAATCAACAAGGGGTTCTCCATTTTCAACTAAACACATTTCTACTAGACAAATCTGATTGTGAGTTGACCATTAGTGAAGCTGTTCATACTCCAGAGAGCACATACTCTCCAAATTGTATCCAATTTGTATCACCTTATTATATTCCTCTTTCCTTTTCCTAACCTGCTCTATTTTTTTGTTTCTTTTTAAGACTACTATGAATTACCATTTGTCTCATCACTGACCCCTCAAAAACTCCAATACTAAATTCTGATCCCTGACTGTTCATTTCTCTTCCTTCCCCCTACCCATTCTGAATGTCCTTCTTGCAATGAGTTCATAAACTTGAAACTCGTAGGCAGAGTGAAACCTGTCTTCATTTTAGCTCCAGATTTTAAAAGTTGTCAATATTCTTTTGAGAGTGGGAGGACCTGAGTCACAGTTTTAAATGTCAACTGTACTAGCTGAGATCATTAATTCCTCTCACCTTCACATCTGGCCAAAGATAAAGAGAAAAGTATTTCTGTGTTTCTTTTTTAATACCACAGTTTTCAAATTCTTGATATGAGTAGACCATCTCTGAGAGAGAAAAATCACTAATGTTGACTATTTCAACCCCTGCTAATACTTAGCCAAACATCATGTCTATCAGAGACTATATTTACAGGAATCTAAAGAAAGGGGTAACATTTCAAAATAACTTTGGTAACTGTTGAAGCTCTTCTCAAACAAGTAAAGCCACTTCTACCTAAATGTATTGCAGAAAAAATTAGGAAGAATTTCTTTACTTATTACCTTTTTGAAAAAACAATTATCAGTTAGCCTAGAAATTTGAACAGTAATTTTCTTCATTATGAAAAGATCAATAAAGATTGTTAAGTGTATTTTGCAACCAGAGGTGGCTTAAACATACACTTTATATGTACTTAAAGAAAATATTAATAAGGCTGGATGGATACTCTAAGGGATGTACAGTATATACTGCCCAATTCCGAAATACTCAACCATGTAATTTTATCATTGTGCTAGATCTCATTCCAATGAATTTTAACTGTTTGATGTTCAGATCATTTTCCAGAAGACTGATACCATTCTGTGTATATCCCTTTCCAGATGCTTTTAATATCTTCTTCACAGTAGCCCTTTAACAGTCTTCCCTTTTCAGTCTGATGTCCTTGCCATGGTACACATTGCCCCTCAGCTCATACAAAGACAAATCTTGTGACAGGTAGAGCATTGCCTGGTTTTAAATGCACAGGGCGTATAGTTTCAGGTCTTGCTTGACCTACTAATAAACAGAATCAAGATTTAATATGATAAATGTATTCTTACTTGACTTTAGGCTTGACCCAGCTTTTGTCTTAATCAAACTAATTTGTAGCATCAACTCACCATAGAGAGCAAGGAAATGAATAGAAGGTCCAAAAGACCTCCTGAGGCATCACCTAGCAGGAAAACAATGTTTCTTAAAGCCAATATTGAAGTTGCTTAAAACTATGCCTTTCATTTTGGCATGTTCTTCTAATCAGTTTTATCCCTTTTCTCTTCTTTTGTTCTTTCTGACTCCTGGTATTGGTTTTTAAAGTGTTCTTTATCTAAAATACCCTATACCCTTCTTTGTAGGCATTGCTGTGTGAAGGAACAAAATATTCTTTTCTAAATTCTTAACTATTATCATGTGTATGTGTAGTAGGAAAGGATCTGGTCCTGATCGATCCCATCTGGTCCAGTTAAGCCAGGTTGCCTTTTTGACATTATTCCTTCCATTTTCCCAAGAAAACTTTCAACCCTGAGACCTGGGACTTCTCACCACAACCCCTGTGTTAGCTGCAGATTAATGTCTAAATCCCTTTTAATATTCTAGAGCTCCAAGATGTGAATTTCATATTGTTTGTGAGCCTCCTGTTTTTCCAAGCTGACACCTGTCAGGAGCACCAACAGCCCTAACATTAACTAATGCAGCAAAATAATGGTCGGAAACACTATAGTATATAGTGTTTGGGAGATTAGGGAGGGATTTTTTTCTTTTTTCCCCCATAAAAAGCTTGCTTCTCCCCCACCCCACAATGCCTTTCAGAAAGTCTGCATCTCATTTTACAGATATTTAGTTTTAGTATTTGCAAATATAGCTTAGGAGATTGAGACTGGTAGCAAACGAGTTTATTTTCTGCACTGGACTTTAGGACAAGTGTGCACAGATAACAATTCCTTCAAAGAAAGTGAAACATGGTAAAGCAAAGGGATAATACTTCTACACATTAAAACAGTTGTTTGCTATCTCTAAACCTTGATTTAAGCATAATTATATATTTTTTAGAATTCTGAAACTGGAGGAATGTGTATTTTAGTAAAGTTTGTTTGTTGATGTATTTCTTTTCCTTTACCTTTTTCTTCTCAAGTTAGTGAAAAATTTTGATCCTTTAATTTGGTACTGTCCATGGGCATTCTAATGAATCCCCACCACCACCATAGTTATTTTCCCCTTAGCAAAAAAGCCTTCTATCTTACCATCAAGGAGTTGTTCCTCCATGAAAAATCTTTGTTTTTCTAATGGCACTTGAGAACTTTGAGGACAGAAATTCTCTCTATGCTTTGAGCATAGAATAGTTAAAAACTATTCTTTGAGGAAGAAATCCTTTTTGCCCAAACTAACAGGTTTCCGGCCAAAGAATGAGAATTGATTGCAGATGAAGGTCATGCATTTTATACTACAAATCCTTCTTGTCTTCTCAAATCTTTTCTGGAATAAGGATAGAGATAAATTAATTTAATTCAATTGCCCTGCAGATGTTTCTTATTAGCAACTAGTGCAGAATACCCAGCAAAGAAAAAGAAAGGGTGCTAATAAAATGTCAAACTCGGTTGATCTATAGATTTTTATAATTATATGGATTTCTTTTATCTTAATTTCAAGACTCTGTGTGTTCATGAGGTCTGAAATAGAAACTTCCATTTCTCCATTGCTTCTCATCTCACCCACCACCCAGGCACTGGAGATGGTCATAAGAGGGAGATTGTAACTGCATCACTAGTACTTCACCTGTCCACATCCCATCATCGCAGAGGAAGAAACGTTTAAGTGAGAAACTATTTTTTTTAAAGGAAATTTTAGTCTACATTTGAATACATACTGTTTTTCAACCCAGTTTACAAATAGGCTGATAACCTTTTAATAACCTGTCTATTGTCCTATAATTTACATTCTTGGCTCAATCTTTAAAATAGTTGCAATTTCAATTAAGTGAGCAGAGACAAAGCAAAGAGAAGAAGCAGGACAGTGTGATGGAATCAAATTCTATACCATCCTGGATTGCTAAAGCCAGCTTTCAGGATTACCAGAGGAACTTGTTGAAACTCTTCCTTGTCATGGCTGCCTGTCATGGTCTGATGATAGTTCAAAGAGTTAGTATGATAACTACACTTAATTGATTCAAGACTTCTCTGAATGCTTTAAAACTCATCTAAAAAGTTTGTAGAAACCCTTGACTATTCGTATACCTAATCTGCTTTCCAGGGTACATGAGGAGCATTCAGGAAGATAACTGAAAATAATGGCTTAAATTTGAAGTAAGATTTTTCTATAAACTGAAGTGTATTTTTGTGTATTCTAGGAGAATCTTTGCAAAACAAAGATAGTTACTATACTTTTGCTATCCTTGGGACAAATCTTGATTTGGAATCACTTATAGATTTGTCGTAGAAAATTCTCAAAGATATTTTCAGCAGTTCCTTAAGTCCCATTGATTTACACTTCAATTTTCCTGAGGGAACTGCTAAGCTATAAATTAAGGGTAATTTGCATATATCTAATTAAAATTGGCATTTGCACTATTGTTGAAAGAGTTATCATTTTCAGAGTACATGAAAGGAGGGACTTTTAGTAATCCTCATCCTGTGTGGCAAACGAAGGTGAGAAGCTGATGATAGAGAAAATCAGTGATACTTTGCTGACCCCAGTATGCCATGCTCCTTTGTTTGTACAATCTATTCTAAACTGCACAGCGATTCACCTGAAACTCCCAGCACATGTGTGGGTCTAAGCAGACAAGCAGGTTCACATTCGCAGAGTAGCAATTCAGACAAAGTGAAGAGACAGAGTCAAAGGCAAACATTTCTCCAGAATCACTCATATTGTCACATCTCAAACTGATTCTAGATTCATCTTAAGCAAGAAGTAAGCTCCTTAAGAAATCCTACTATGAATGTTTTTTTTCCTTGCTAAAAAATACAAGAAGTGATACAATGCTGTATCTTCATTTTGGTGTAATAATTATCTTTCATATTTAATAGTTGTACTTTTTGCTTGAGTGTGTCATTGAGCTATTTGAACCAGTTTTCAATCCATTATCCTGAGAGGGGACTTGAGAATTTCTGTGTATGTGTGTGTATCTATATCTGTGTGTAGTCAGGGAAAAAAGTGAATAGAAGGGGAATGAAACAAGGGGAAAAGTGGTCAATGTAGGAAAATGAGCACTCTTAGTGCTCTCTGTGTTAGGTAAGGTGACTGTTGCCTATAACCCTTGAAGAGGAGCTGATTGTACTATTCAAAAATAAGAGCCCAGCATTGTTAAATTTAGGACCTGTTTTGGGAAACAGGAAATTTTTGTCTTTTTCTGTACCCATTTCCCTTAGTATTGGAGCCATTTGACATGATAAAAACCATTAAATAAAAACCACTACTGACCTTTGCATTAAATAGCTCTTTTCCTCTTCTAAATAATACCCCTGATTTCATTTGACTACTTCCCTTTATTTTCTGGCTATCAGCTTCATGTTTTACAGAGTAATACATAGGTTCATGCTAGTTGTTTCTCTCTTTTGAACTGAAAACAGGGACAACAAAAGAGATGATTCACAGAAGTGTAAGGTGAAGTCTGAATTTCCCACTTTTGTAGCACTGATATCTATTAGGAAGAGCTGTTTTGGGTTGAACTTTGAGTCCCTTTTTTTTTTTTTTTTTTTTTTTTGCACTAAGTATGACTGACTGCACTGCACTGCACTACTGAAATGTATTTACTTGTGCTGGGAGAAAGTGTGTTAGGAAAGAAAGAGGAAAGGTATAAAATGAGAAACATCGCAAAAAATGGATTATTTCCATGCTTGGTCTTAGGAGGATTAGTGAGAATCTGTGGAATTTTGCCAACCCTTGTTCAAGCCTAGAAACTGCCACACTGATAAAAACTTGTTTTCTTATTGTAAAGAAGCTGGTTTGTACAGCAAACAGAGGGTGTTCAAGAAGAAATTTACCCAATGTTGTTTCCAGCTAAGCTTTTCATTAAGAGTCGAGATAGCAAGGAAGCTGGCCAGCTGAATGTGGAAGTCTTCATCACGAAGCCCTGGCTGGTGCATGTTTCAGTGTGACAGAGGGCAGTGGTACCTGCTCCTTACAATAAATAAATAACCTTGTTCACATTAGGATATCCTTTCACCCTGATACTTTTCCATCCCTGGGTGAAACCTAGATTAAGCTAACCAAAGAGGAAGGTCATGCATGTGGTAGAGTCCTTTAGGATGACATAAGGGAACAGTGCAATAAACACTGAGAACAGTGAGGTGAAAGGTTTATTTTGAAACAAGCTAGGCCAACTTTAAAATTGGAGAAAGGGTTGGAGGACTGATCAGAACCAACCAGATGCTCCATCACAGACTATCCTTAGTAAGAAGAGACCTTAACAGTGCCTAAAAGTTTAGCTTTGAGGTTTCCTTTTTTTCCTAACTTTTCTTTGTTGGATTTATTTTTATTGGCTTTTTTAATCTTAGAAGCAATCAGTTTGACAGCTCTTTAGTAATTCTTAATAAAAGAATCTTTCATCACAGGAAAAGCAATAGATTGTGTGGGGAATAATGATACAAGAGTGAAGATGCTGAGGGACTCTTCCAGAACCCAGGGTGGCAGCTTTGGGAATTTTTGGTTCTGGAAGAAAAGATCACAACCTGTATTGACAGCTAACATTGAATTTCTCTGAACACTATCACATGGGAGGGCATCAATTTTGAAAACTCTCAATTGAGGCCTTCTTCCTAAAATAACAACATTGATATCTGTCTTTTTCTCTCTCCTTCTTACCATCCGTCCAAGTCTACCATTCCAAGTTAAAAAAAAAAAAAATTTAAAGAAGTTGTTAGCCTTGCTGGAGATCTTTCAGAACTAACATTAGCAACCCCTTAAGAATTCAAGGCATTATCTCAGTTTTAAATAAGAAACTTTCAATTCAGAGCCCTTAACAAATACATACTGGGTAAGCACTAAGAGGACATGACTACACCAAACCAAAGCTATGGAAAGAAATAGTTGACCTTTTAAGATAGACTCATATTAACTGTTCTAGGATACTTCTCTTGAGGTTTTGGGGAATAACTTCTTCCTTGAATCTTGCATACCCACTCCAGTTCTGTCACCAAAGATTTTAATCTCCAGAACCCAACCTTCTCTCTCACAGACAAAAGTACTACAGTAGGCTCAAGGGATATGCTTTTGGTGGTCAAGGGATACTACTTTGGTTTTCCTTCCATTCACAGTGCTATTAACAGGAGACCTTGTCACTGGAGGAGCTACTGAATTGTCTTTATGACTTAGGGTTTGGTGAGGGGTTTTAAAAAATAGAAGAAAAAATACAAGCTAGTACTTGACACTGTTCACTGTCTTTAGTAGTCATGACCTGGAGACTGATGGAGAGAAAGAAACTTCCAAGGAAGAGAGTGAACTTAATCTTTGGATCATTAGTGAAACATAAGGCAGCATGTGTGTAAGTACAGGTCGAGGCTCTGCAAGGTCAGGGCCAATAGTAGTGGCCAATGAATGCAAGTCTTGAAAAACCTGGGTCTAGGTTTTGGTGTGGTTGCTGGAGTGATTGAAATGCCCAAGCCCGTGGCAAGGAAATGCTTGGAGGCTGATCTGTTGTGATAGTGCCTTTCTTGTCGTAGCAAGTACTAGATTAATAATTTATTCACTTATGCTTTTCTGGACCATTGCCCCCAGTCTTCTGAGGAGGTCTGAAGGGATAGTATCCATTTAAGATGAAGGGATAGGATATTGCTCCTGGAATGCTGTGATTTGCTAATATTTGCACTAGATTCTAAACTCTCCTTTAAACTGGAGCAACTGAATGAGAGAAAAACCAAGGACAATTCAAAAGTTTAAAAATACCAAAAGCAGTATTTTCTGACTAATGCCATTTCTTCCCTTCCTCTTCTCTTCTCCTTCCTCCTCCCTTTCCCCTTCTCCTCCTCATCTTCTTTCTCTTTTCCTTCTCCTTCTACTGGAAGAAAACTTCACATTTGTTGATTACCAAGCTAAATTCTTACCAATTCTTTTCCTTCTTTTATTTTTTCCTGCAATGCTCCATCAGTGTGAATCAGCCACCAATTAGGATGAGTTAGTGTAAAGAGCCTTTGCCATTACAACTTTGCTCATCAAGTGCAGGCACCCATGGCCATCCAGTTCTTAGGAGGCCAGCAAGCATGAATATTATGTCAACAGCTGAGCGGACACGTATTTGGTCAGAAAACATTGGGGCCTATAACTCATCCTAAAAGATGCTCATAAAGAAGGAAACCAATGTGTCAAAGCAAACAGATGAAGGTAGTGCCTAAGGTTTGGCCATTTTCCCCCTCTGTGTTCTTTCCCATCTTACTACAGTGCCCTCTCTATCACAGTTGGTTTCATCTCATATGTATTACCAGAAAAATTCTTTGGTTCCTTGGTTTCTCTCTTTATCAGTGGGCTGGGAACTCCTCCAAAATTAAAAAGAAATAGCATTAGCAGCTCCCCATGACCAGCCAGTTTCTCAAATACTATCCACCTGGTCTCATTGAGCAGTGGATATCTCAGCTAAGATGACTTGGAAGCTTTGACAGGCTCAACCACCTGTCTACTTTATTTTCATTTCTATTTGAATTTTGAATGAGGCTATGGAAGGGTGGGAATCATGGGAAAGGTTTGGAGACTGCAATTCTGGGGCATAGCGTGTCAGGAGTTTATATTATCCAAAATATATCCTTCTATACCTGTTTTTGGTTTAATCTGTTGCCCTGATTATCATTTCTATTACATTTGTGGTTATTTTTGTAAGATTAGAGTCCATTTACTATGTCTATTTGAGTACTTTTTTTTCTATTTTCCCCACATGGATGCAGTACCAACCTGTTAATGAAATATCTTTTTATTATATTATTAATATGTAATTCTACTGTAGACCAAAAATATAAAAACAAAATTGTTCATTTTAAAGATATAAATAACTAATGAGTAAGAGATTAGGATTGAAAGAAAAGACAGAAGAGCAGTGGTCAACTATGTTGAGTTAGAAATCTAAGAGTAGCCTTACCTATTTTTTAAACAGTGCTTGCCAATCATACCATAGTTGGGATTATATTATCTTGGCTTCTTCATGCTTATGTTCTATAATTTCTTGTTTGTTTGTCTGTTTTCTTTGATGTAATTGAGGTTGTACATCATGCTATTTTTGGCAATGCCTGATTTTATTATATTGTACTTTTATCAAGTCATTTCTTTTAGAAGAATGAGGGGAAACATTTTATTTCTTCTTTAATTTAAAATTTGTTTAATGCACTGGAAATAAAATTGGACACATTTCACTGTTTAAAAATCAGAAACAAAACAAAACAAAACCATGAAGAAAAAACTAGCAAGCAAATAAGCAACAGGGGGAAAAGTATCAAAAAAAATCTGTTCGTACTGAATACGCATACGAACTGCATCCCACATGAATGCAGTAAATATCATCAAGAAAGAAAACCACATAGTCTAAACTACAATGCTAAAAATATTAAAGGAACCTGGGTTCAATGGGAGTGGAGAAAATAGGGCATTCCTTTGCAATCAGAAATCTTGTCATTGTTCCAGTTAATACCTGAACAGGTTAAATGTGGAAAAGATTATGAAGGAAATAACCTCAGCCTTCCTCATACCACTGAAGTTCTGAGTTACTTTTTATCATAGGCTTCAGCTCCATTTTGAGAAGAAAACAACACACACACGCACACATACACATACAATGTGTGATAAAGTATTTTGTATGTATGTGTACCATACACCTATGGACACACTTCAGTCCTTTGACTGCCTATGCGCTACCTCACGCATTTCTCTTTTGTGAGGATTTTGCAGAGGAAGGTCCTGCAACATGGGAGACCATTAATGACTCATTGAGCATTGACATATGCTAAAGATGTTCTTGATCCAGCCTGGTCTTCTTCAGCGTTCCCCAATACCAACAGGGCTGGTTAACCCATATGAATGTGCCGTGGAAGGAAGGACAGAGGTATTTCTCTTAATCTACCAGCTACAACATTTGTTTAATGTTTGCTGGGTTTTTCTGGGTTTTGTTTTGTTTTTGAATAGGGGTGGGAGTGGATGTAACTTCACAATCTTAATACAGTAAATGTTTTGCATCTTCCATGTTTTATGCAAAAACAGACATTTAAATCAATAAATAATTGTGCCCTAGACTGAAAGTTAATGTTTAGGAGAGGAAAATAATTGTTGGAATTTTTTCTACATTTTTTTGTGAAGAATCTTTTTTGGAAAGGAAGGATACATATTTTTGTTGTGTAATATTTTCTATTTTTGAATGCATTTTATTGGTACAAGACTGTTTTTTTGGTGAAGACATTATTTAAAAAAAAAAAAGAAAAAAACTAATCGAAAAGTTTGCCCTTAAGGATATGCTGCAGTTTTGAGGTTAAAAAAAAATAACTGATTCAAGATGCGTGTTAAAAGTTGGGATTATATTGTTGTTTTTTGTAATTGTTACAAGAAGAAGTTTGTACCCACTGCTGTTTATTTTGTTTCAGATGAGTAAGTAAAGGGATTGTTCTTGTTTTATTCTTTTTTTAGAGAAAAAAAAAAGCTATTTATGAAATGTCAAAAACACTGGACTGTGAGTTTAAGTGTGGAAGCATTTACCACCCTGTGTCTTCAACCAATTATGGGAAACCCCTTTTCTCTTCCCCTCCGCCTTAGCCTTGCCAAATGAGAAAAATATAACAGCTCTCAGATGATCGAAGCCACCGAAGCCCTGCTTTAATTTTTATGGTTTGAAAAAGTTGGAAAACCAAAGTTAAATTTGTTTCTGAAATCCCACTGTCCATAGCCCTTTTTTTGTATGACATAGCCGCTTGGCTCTGCCTCTTCATCTTGGATCATTGCCTTCTTAAGGTCTGGGGCCAGCTCTGATACAAAGAGAGGCATAAAGGTGGTGAACCTGAGAGCTGAGGTCTCAGGAAGTAAAATGTGAGTGGGACCTCAGCCTCAGGAGCAGCCACGCTGTCCCATCCCCAGACGAGGCTGCCGGAGAGCGCACTGCTAACCACGCTCCTTTACCTTCTGCTTCTAAGACTCTCCTGTCACCATGGCTCTCTAGAATGGCTCTGCCTTTCTCACTAACCCACATTCCATGGATGGGAGGGGGGCAAGGATCCAAATGAAAGAAGGGTGGGTGCTGTGAAAGCACCCCTGCCCAAGGGAGGCAAGGCAAGGGACCACTCAGCACAAGGGACCTTGCCGGCTTCCCCTTTGATTCTGTAGATTGTCCATCCATCTGCTCACTGTGAAGATGAAGAGGAAGTGGGCCTTCGGTTGAACAATAGCTTTTCCATATTTTTTCAAATTGAAAAAATAATTTTTAAAAACTGTGATATTTTTTTAAAAAATCATTTGGCTGGAGGGAAGGGAAAAGGGAAACACCAAAAGCTGTAACATGATTAACTGGAGATATTTAACTGGGGCACTTTCTAGACCAAGACAAACAAATTCCTTTCTGGACCCTAAAGCAGCCAAATCTTGAGACTGTCAATGACAGAAAGCTGAAGAGAGGCCTCCATTTCTTCTCTCTGTCTCAAAATTCTCTCTTGTTCTCTTTTCCAACTTCCTTTGGACTACTGTCCCAATGGCCCTCAGCCTCCCACTTCATGTGTGCAAACACCCCCCCACACACACATACACACACACACACACACACTTGCAAAATACCATTTTTCTTAAGGATTGTGGGACCGAATAAAATCACGTGCCTTCATTTTTTCCTTTTATAGTTAGATGAACCTCTTCCTTTATACAATGTCTTTTTAATTTTTTTTTTTTAATAACAGAGGTTGAAGTGTTAGTGGAGGACTTGGGCATCATTTGAGAAGTCATTTCTGTTTAGCACATTAAACACAAACATTTCAACCCTTTCACAACATTCTTTGGACATTTAGAGCATCAAGTAATCAGATACCCGATAGCCTAAATCCATTTGATTTTAGAGCAATTCCTGAAATTTCTATTTCATAGACTTTAATCTTATCAAAATGAGGCGAGCAATGGCAGGCTGCCTTGTTCTCCCGACTTGGTGCTTTTGCTTGTGGTGGGGTGGGCAGGGGGGGTGGGAGTGTGGGTATGTTTAGACAAAGGGTGCATTCCTAAGACCTTTGGTGCTGAAGGGCCTCAAGTTCCTTTCAGAGACTGTATTCGACACACTTTAAGTACACACAAATGAATGGTATCACATGCAATATTTAAATGGAGCAATGGGAGAGGCTCTTTGAAATTGGGTTTTGCATCTTTTTGTGACATTTTGATTTCTCTGGTGCCTTATTTCTACTTGATGCTGGCACTCACATACCCACAGGAAACTGACAAAGAAGTCAGCCTCGGGAGTGGGGACTATGGGTGATGCTTGAGCACGCGGGGGGCCACAAGGAGGTTGGTGTCAGTTGATGGGGAAGAAGCTAAACGGCCTTTCTTAGCTGAAGCCAACCAGGGACTGCACAAACCCATTACAGTCAGAGTTCACAATTCCAGCGTGCGCACACAACACATTCATTCTTTCTCATCTGAACTTTCCTTCCTTCTTCCTTTTCTATCTCTACCTTCTCACAAAGGTGCTGCTGCTGCTGCTGCTGCTGCTAAGGTGCCCGAAGTCCAGAATGCCCAGTAATCACTCAGGCACAAGCCTGGCACTGCCACGTCAGCCCCTGGCATGAACAAACCCAGGTTTCTCTTGCTTGGGGCTGAAAACTTTCAGATTTTTCTCATCAAAAATGTTTTCCAAGGAATCAGTGGGTTACAGTTATTCTGCATTGAAAATGCACTTTAAAAAAATAAATAAAAGCTCCAGACTGTTTAAAATATACAGAGGGAGCAGGGGAAAGATAACCATGTGCTAGTGTCTGAACCCAGTTCAGTTTATCTCCAGTTGAAACAGTATACACTATATTATGTATAAATGTATACACATTTCCTATATATATCCACATATATATAGTGTATATATTATACATGTATAGGTGTGTATATGTGCATATATACACACATGCACATAACAAAATCAGATGCTCATTACAAATCCAGATGCTCATTACAAAACCAGATGCTACACAAACAGCAGCAGAGGAAACAAGGTTGGACTCTTGCAACAGATCACAAAAAATAAAAACAGCTACTTGCAGTGACTTTGGTCATTTCTGTAGGTTCATAAGGAATGGATTGTAACAAAGAAAAAAGGAACAGTGTTAGTGAAAAAGGAAAAATGGGCGAAACCATCTTGATCCAATGGGAATGCAGTAATGTTCTATACCATTTCATCAGTTATTTCTTTTAGTCATGTTGATTTGATTTCAGTTCTTGGCTATTAAAAAAAAAAAGTTATCAACTCAAGTGACCACAACCAACTGAACAAAACAACTACAGTCAAAGCCCTTTTCAGAGGAAGATGTCAGAAATCTCAAAACCCTTGGCCTGGCTCAGAACTACCATGTGCAAATCAGTACTCTCTTAATGTTTGAAATAAAAACTGAAAAGAAAAAAAAACTTTTCGAAGCACCTTAATGTGGCCATCCATTTGAGGAGTGGGTGCCACTTTTTTCTTTGAGCACCTTATTGCCGTGTTTTGCTATCTGCTGTCTTTCTGTTACCTGTTGGCTGAATGGCTAGCTGTTAACATACACATGTGCACAGACCAGATACCTGGGCATGTGTGTTCTCAATGAAGGTTACTGTGGTGACTGCTGAAAGGGGAACCCATTTCCTGATTTTCCCACCACAGTGTTGTGATAAGATTCAAAGAAACTCTTTTCCCTGCACAGAAATGTTTCTTGTCACATTGTGTCTTAGTATGAAATGGAATATGGTCCCTTTTTTGCAATTGCTACTGTACACACACACACAAACGCACACACACACACACTGTATATTCAGACCTAAAATACACACACACTGTATATTCAGACCTAAAATACACACACACACACACACACACACAATTCATTTATCCAAGTGATATTTCCAATGTCCGTGTGGGTGGCACTGTATATGCAGCTTCCATTTCCCAGTGCATTTTGAATGGAGGGAAACTTTTCTAATCAGAATGTCTTTTCAGACTGAACACCAACGAATTGGGGAAGAGTTTGGAAAGAGAGGAAAGGAAAGAGAGCTTTAAATTGAAAGAATAATTTCCTAAGAGGAGGCTGGGCTGAATGACTGCAGACTCTACCCTTCAATCTTTGCAGGCGGGCATGGAACATTGCTGGTACCAATCTGTGTGCTGTATAAATCCATGGACTCACACATCCATCCATCAATATGTACATGGTTTGGGATGAGCAGGTCAATAGTTTTGAGAGGGAGTTTGTTCCTTTTTTTTTCTCATTATTCTCTTAACTTGTCGTCAGTTATCAAACAAACAAACAGAAAAAAAATTGTTTTGAAAAACCTTGCATACGCCTTTTCTATCAAGTGCTTTAAAATATAGACTAAATACACACATCCTGCCAGTTTTTTCTTACAGTGACAGTATCCTTACCTGCCATTTAATATTAGCCTCGTATTTTTCTCACGTATATTTACCTGTGACTTGTATTTGTTATTTAAACAGGAAAAAAACATTCAAAAAAAAAAAAGAAAAATTAACTGTAGCGCTTCATTATACTATTATATTATTATTATTATTGTGACATTTTGGAATACTGTGAAGTTTTATCTCTTGCATATACTTTATACGGAAGTATTACGCCTTAAAAATACGAAAATAAATTTTACAAGGTTTCTGTTTTGTGTGGAAGAGTAATTGATGTTGCTAAGAATGATGTTTGTTTTTTGGGGTTTTGTTGTTTTTTTTTTAAATGTTACCAGCACTTTTTTTGTAAGTTTCACTTTCTGAGGTATTGTACAAGTTCACACTGTTTGTGAAGTTTGAATATGAAGGAATAATTAAAAAAAAAAAAAACTCTTCTCCTGGTTTCCATTGGTGCCTTCTTCATGTGGTGGCCGTGGCAATGTCTGTTTGGGGCAGCTCTCCACATGTTTTTTATACTTTGGGGTCTAGCTATAGTCTGAGATTATGCAAATAGAGGACTGTACCTGGAAGGTCAAAAAAAATAAATCAACATATCAGTCCTCTTGATACAAGCAGTAGGAATCACAGGACTGGTGATATTGAACTCACTTTGGGAAAATACGAGACAAATTTGGGCATCATCCTACACCAGTCCAAACTTCAAAATGATGACAAGGCTCATTTACTACTGTATAAACCCATTCACATTTTTGTCTTTTCTCACATTAAAACCAGCATCTATCTGCTGTGGAAATAACCAATCCCACATGGCACTATGCCCCCTATCCTCATGTCCCCTTATCACTGTTATGCTGAGAATCTATCACAGAGCCTCCTTTTTATCTTTTGGGGTTCTTGGATCTATATGCAAAATAGAAAAATTATGGCACAAAGTATATCTCTATTCCAAGATTTAAGAGACTAAGAGACTCCTATTTGTTCCCTACACCCTTTCCTATATGTGACTGTCCCCATAGGTGCTCTCTAGTCTCCCTGTTCTCATAGAAATTGCTAATGTGAGGAGGCAAACACATCTTTATTTGTTTCTGGTGAAGACAACCCATTGAGCACCTGTATTTCACTCAACACCATGCAGTGCATGAATGCAAAGGAAGAAATTATTACATTCTAATAAACCTTAAGATCTAGCAGCTAGAAATACAGGTTCATATACAATCAAGAGGTATATTATACTCTCAGACTTTCAGTGCCATGGGAATTTATAAAATAACAAAAGATGACAATGGCTAGAGTAAATCAAGGACGTGTCTAAGTAATAAACAATCTAGTTTGGTGACTCAGAAGGACATTAGGCTTTGAGTTGGAGGAAGTGAGTGTGGTCAGCCATTTCCCCTAGTGTGAGGAGTACAACAATCTCCAGATCTGAGCTCAGGGGCCTGCAGAGAATTCCAAAAGAGACCTCTGGAAACCTGTTCTACACATGAACACATCATGGTGTGGTCTAGGAATGGGCTATGGTCATTGTAAATAATGCATACACTATTCAAATGGCACTGTAATCATTTATAATTTAATAAATTAATAATAGTTTATAATTTCATCCATAGTCATAATTACACTGTGAACATTGTAAGGGAACTATTATTATATGTAAGACAGAGGTTCAGAAATATTTTTTGCCAGTGTAAAACAATTAATATAATAGAGTTTAAACCAAGGTTCTTCTGAAATCCAATGGTAGTTACACACCCCAGTATTTCTTAAACTTGAGAAATACATATACTCCTAGGAAAAAAATTTCTCCAAGAACTCATGGGAGGAAGTTTGATTATTTTTGTTATTTACTAATAAATTAATAATATAATGCATAATTATATTTTTATTATAAATATTCTTAAATTGACTCAAAGGTGATATCAGATAAACCTGTTATTCTTATAGCACAAACAGAATTTAATAACCTAAATTACAAAATAAACACAAGTAAAACTATAAAATTAATTACATTCTCAAAGTTAATTTAATGCTTTAGGTGATGCTTTGCTGACTCCATCACAGCTCACAAAGTGTGCTGCTAGCTTGACATATTTCTTGAATTCAGCATCCCTCCTCCACAGTGTGCAAAGTGAAGACAGTCCTCCCTGCACTTTCTCAGTATGTCAACTACTGCAAAATCTTTCACTGCTCCAACCACCTATAGCAAGTGAATCATTTATGAATGAAGCCTTTGCACCTTGAAATCAACTTGATTATAAACACAGAGACTGAAAACAATGCAGCACCCTGTTATAAGAAGTCCATCAATAGTCAAGATATGTTTGACTTTTTTTTTAAAGATCATCATCTCACTTAAAACACAAAATTTGTAAATGCTTACAGGTGCCTCTAGAACCCATGCTCTATGTGAAACTCTTAGGTTTCCTTAAGTCCCAGGTTTTAAGGACATTGATTCCAGATTCCTTGGTTATTCCCCAAAGGTTTGTTGCCCCTTGGAAACTTCTATAGCATGAACAATGCACATGCCCATGGCTCACATTACAATACTAATTATTAACGAAGCATTTTATAGCTTACAAAGCAGTCAACCACATTCTTAACTTCATCCTTTTAAAAACCCTATAAAGTAGGTATAATGATTACCATTTTACAAATGAAGTTACTGAGACTCTGAAAGGTTAACTCATCCAAATTCATGAAGCTAAACTGCAGAGATCAGTACTTGGACCAAGTAGTCCAGTTTCTAGTCCAATATACTGTGTGGTTTCTTTTTGATCTCTATATAATCTATTAGAGTTTTAGTTCCAGAAAAGATGTTCTTTACAACCCACATGAAATCAGAATGACTACTGTCCTGTGGTGAAAGTCTATTCCTGCTAACACCATTGAATTGCAAACTTCCCAACAATCCTGGCCTTGTTTACCGGAGCTGGATCATTAAGCTACCTCAGATAGCTTTGGGAAGAGCGAGAAGAAAATAAATGCATAGCCTGCTTTTGACTTCATACTTTGTCTTGATCAGAGAAAGGACACAGAAGAATAAGGGAATTTTGATGTCTCTTCCTGGTAGTGACCCTGTTAAAAGCTTAACAACTGTCGAATCATCAAATGTCTGTAAACACAGCTATCTGTGTTTCTTCCATATGCAAGGTAGTTACTATAGTTGTGATATCCCTATCCACCGGTCCTGTGTCATTATTTACATTTAAATTTTAGTTGGTTAAAATTAACTGAATTTCCTTTGTCACATTTGCCAGATTTCAAGTTCTGTATAGCCTCATGTGGCTAGTGACTTCCATATTGGACAGCATGGACATAGAACTTTTCTAGAATCATAGAAAGTTCTACTGGACACCACCATCCTATATGCTACCTTATGCAAATAATTCTCACAAACGTCAAGTATGTTCTGACTTCCAGAAACGTGGGCTTTTGCCACACATAAGGTTCCATTGGGCCTCTTGACAGTTGTGCTTTGGAGTTTGTGTGTGTGTGTGTGGGGGGGGGACTACTACTATACTCAGTAACCAGGACTGGAAAGAATCAGACTGAAAAAAACTCACACACCACAGTAGGCAGCCACACCACAGCCAAGCTGTATATTGTCTCCTCTCTGCGGGGCATGATGAGTTCTCCAGAATACTTCCATTCCCACTTAGCATACACAGCCTCCTGCCTGTCCATCTCAGCCTTGTTTACATGAGTTGGACCATTAAGCTACCTCAGATAGCTTTGGGAAGAGCTGGAAGAAAATAAATGCACAGCCTGCTTTTGACTTAATACTTGGTCTTGATCAAATGGCCTCTGTATAAACATAAGTGTGTGATCATTTATTTCTGGGGCTCAGAGAATGAGAAGAAACAAGTTTTGAAACAAAGTTGTATTATGATAAGGTACTGTCCACATTGAAGACCATCTATCTCAAAGTTCCATGGTGAAATTTCTCACATCTTTTAAGTATGAGTTTCTGGGTTATAGCTCATACTCTATAAGCCCAGGCTCAGAATGTCAGCAGGGAATCAGTAACTGCATAACTTCCTGAACTCTCATTCATTCATTTATTCTTCTCACTTCCTGTCATGGATCCCAAGAGGAATTCAGGAGATGTTGGGACGTCTTTGTCAGCCCTTAGTGGTCCCCTCCCTCAATCTCCCTTGTGATCCTTCCCTCCGTACTTTTCAGAAGACAATAAGAGGGAAAAGCTTCTCCAAACACTATTTTGAATAAGAGACAGAAACAAACTGACATGGATAGATACCCTCCCCGAAACGAGCATGGCTTGGGTTTAGAGTTGAGAGCTGCAGAGTCCAATAGAAATATAATGGCAGCCACATATGCATTTGTGGATTTCCCAGGAGCTGCATTTAAAAAACCAAAGGAAACACAAAAAATCACTTTTAATAATACATTTTATTTAGCCCAATAAATCCAAAATGTTATTGTTTTGACATGTAATCGATGTTTTTAAATTACAAATGAGATAGTTTATATTTTTATGATTCTTATTGTCTTCAAAATTGGGCATGTGTTTTATGCGCACAGCTCATCCCAGGTTGGATTAACCTCCCTCAAGAGTGGACGGCTACACATGGAAAATGGCTACTGTCCTAGACATCACATGTCCCCAGGAATCTGTGAGGGATTGTGTTCTCAGAGGACAATCTAGTTTAGTGAATTATATTTTGAAATTGATTTTCTATCCAACTGAATCTCATTTGGTAGTCTGACCATTTCCAGCATCTTTGGAATTTTATCACCATCTCAATGGTTTGGAAATATCTCCCAATGACCAAAACTATGTTAAGTAAGGACCAACTCTCAGTCCAACCTTCGCTCGATATACAGCTCCTCCAAATCGAAGCACCACTCCCTCTCTGTCATCTCATTTTAGTTCATCTCTAATTCATGAATTGTGTTCTACTCCCAACCAATTTTCATTCCTAGTTCTGCAAGAAAAATACTGTGAATTGCCACAGAAAACAACAGCATTTTATACTTATCTCTCTTCTAAAGGACCAGAGCTTGGGACAGATTTCAATCCACTGCTTCTGACTACAAACCCATTTGGAAGGAAGGTGAGAAAAATACAAATATAAGGAGGAATAGGAGTTGAACTGTCTTTTTGTTTAACCCCAGGCTGTTTCTTTGTTTTAGCCGTTGATGAGAGACAGCCTTGTTTCACAGTCTCTCTCAATTCCAGTGCCGTGAAAGGAAATCATTCACTGGTAATTCCCTCGAAGAGTTGGTAGAAGGATCAAGTCTTTTAAATTTGGTTTAAATACAGTTCAACAGAAATGAACTGCTCAGATGCCCCATCCCTGACACAAAGAAGTCCGGGAGTAGATAAAAGTGTTCAAAGAAGCCAGTTTAATGGTGTTTACTTTTGAAACCTTTTATCACCCACATACTCTTATCTACCCCCTCTTTACCCAGATTTTTCCTTTTGGTGGGAAACAGGTTCTATTTTCAGTGGATCACTGGTAGATTGGTCCAGAAAAGGTGTATCTTGACCCAGATGCCAGGACTCAGTTTCTTCAGTGGACACATATTGCCTGGGGGCTTCCCAGCACATGGGGTTGAAAGAGCCTGGGGTCTTCTGTATGAGGCCATCACATTCGGACTTTGAATATATCACAAAAAAAAAAAGGAGACTTGAATCCCTGTCCAGAGAATAAAATCTGAGGTGCCTTGGTTGGTGCCTGGAACTTTTACCTGCATAGACTTTAGTTCCTGCCTGTTCCCTACAAAACTTGTCCTCCACAACCAGTCCAGCCTCATTGATCCCTTTGTACCCCAAGCCACTTCACCACAGCTAAACCCACGCTAACACCTCACCCAGAACCGACATCTCTTCCTGAAAACCTGCATCCTGTGTCTTCATCTCCTTATCACATTTTAATATAAATATTGTCTCCCTATTTCACTGTATGTTCCTAAGGGCAGAGACAACGTTTAGTCACCCTTGAGCTTCACCATAGAGGCTGGTACCTATGTCTCATTCATAAATTGCCTTGAATGAATGAATATTTATGAAAATGACAAGGAGACATGATACAAGGGTGGCTTTGTACCTGTCTCATTATCATCATCTACCACAAACCCTGGAGCACAAAATCCTGCCTATCTGGAAATTATGGATACTATCATGAGGATAGTGTGGCACTATCATGAGGAGTGTGTTTCTTGGAGTCACAGGGTCTGCTCAAAATGCTAGATGCAAAGCCAGGTCAAGGGTTTTGGGGTGTGTGTGTTTTTTGGTTTTTGTTTTATTCTGTTTTGTTTAAATTCACATTCATGACCAAGATGCAAGTTATTCACTTCTGGTCTGCAATAAGGGAATGTAAGGGAAGGACAAAGGAAGTAAAGATGGAGAAGAGGATGACATCTATTCACTCAAGTGAACACACACACACACACACACACACACAGACAGAGACAGAGACAGAGAGAGAGGATTGATGGAGAGAACAGAGGCTTACACATCCATCCATAATACAAAGCCAGGAACATATCTCCCGGGAGATGCCTCGGATTGCTAACCAGTCTCTGTGAGGAAGCTGAAGCTGCCCAGGCTTCTGTAACTCAGGACATTAAAGTAGTCATGAGGCTCAGCATAGTCATTTTCCCTCTGCACACTGCAGAGGCCAGCAGGGGTAGCTCCTGCCAGTACATAGTTTCCAGGGGACGAGGAGATGCTGGGGCTCCACTCCTGCCGTGCAGGGGGTGATCTCCTGAGGTCGCTTGCAGGGGGTGATCTCCTGAGGTCGCTTTCCGCCGAAGGGATTCTGAAAGATGTCTTCTAGAAACAAACAAATTAAAAAGTGAGTATATGGAAATGGTATTCTAAAATGTCCACCTGCTAAGTGGGCATCACTGGCTGGTGATGGCAAGTTTAGACTCATCTTGTCCCGAAGAAACCATCATGTTCCCTCCCCAAAAAACTGCTCCTGCCCCTACATTTTTTATTCTGATTTATGGCACCAGAAACCTGGAAGCTAATGCTGAACTCCAATCATACATAAAACCCATCCAACTTTATTCCATTTCTGCTTCTGGTCTTCTCTGCCAACTGCACTTCATACCCGCCTGACTCTAGACTCCCTATTACTTCTAACCCAACTTCACACAGCCACCAGCAGTAATATTGTGAACATGAAAATTGGATCCATCCATACATCTGTGTAAGTCTCTTCAATAGCACCCACTACCTACAGGAGGGGTGCTTCATCTGGCATGCACAGTAGGACTTTAGGGCATTTGCAAATACCCTTAAATTGCATTAAAAAGTTTATTTTAGGGGGCTGGGGTGGTGGCTCAGTGGCAGAGCACTTGCCTTGCATGTGGGAGGCGCTCGGTTTGATTCTCAGCACCACATATAAACAAATAAATAAATAAAGGTCCATCAGTAACTAATAAAACATTTTTAAAAGTTTATTTTAAGATGCATTCTTTGGGGAAGAAGATCCATAATTTCAAACCTTCCCCACCGGAGACTGATTCCTCCAAAACACCTTTGTGACTTGGTCACACTCACCTTTCCAGCTTCCTCTCCTGCCTCATACCCCAATTCTTGGGGTCTAGATGCCAGAGAGCTACCACTTATTAAGAATCTTCTTTGAGCCCCACTTGGACTAGGTCATGAGTGGAACTCAGAAACCACTCTATCATGTCTACTTTGGGATGCACTAGAAAGGACAAGGGGAAGCTCTGTGCCTCAGCATGAATCCTGCACTGACCCTGCTTAGTCTGATTCCAGGCCATGCTTTCTCCTCAGCCAAACAGCTGCTCTTCTCACAGCTGCACAGTGCCAGACACTCTTTCTTGCCTCCCAATTTTGTGTACTGCTCTGCCCACTGTGCATTCCCAGGTAGTTCTATTTATTCTCCCCAACTCAGCTCTGCAGCATGTTATCAAGAAGCCTTCTCTGACCCCCTTCATCCTGTGAGCTGGAATATGGTGTTCTCTCTTGTAACATTCAATGCTGTCTTAGATTTATCTGTTTATCCTTCTATCTTCTCCATGTTCCAAAATGTGAGGTCACTGAAGGAAGGGTCTGGCTCTATTCTTCTTGGCAACCTCAGAGCCCTTAACAAATGCTTGATATGTGTCTTAGGGACTGAAATGCAGATCCAGGCCCCGGGCACATACGTGTACACACACACACACACACACACACACACACACTTCTACAGTCTCATGTCTAAAAGAACCTGATTTTCTAAATCAAAGCAGAGTCTCATGACCAGCCAACTACAATTGTACTTATGGGACACTAGGGCAGAACAGTGGCATTTGTTTAGTAAAATCAGGGATGTGAAGTCAGCCATTACCTCCATGTGAGAGCATCATAGGTGAAGGTTGTGTTAAGACAAGGAAATTGAAGACCAGCAGACACAAGTAGGATGACAAAAGAAATGCTTATTGACATCTCAGTGCAAAGATGACACCCCCTCGGCCTTATTGAAGAGTGCTGTAATGCAGGTCACCGACCCCACCATATGTCTGAATGACAGAATCACAAAGAGCCACACAGACTTGGAAAATAACAGCAACAAATGCACACCGAATTTCCTTCTGCCCACAACCACTGCTTCCAAGGTGGGAAATACTGTCCCCGGCATCATCTAGTGTCAAGCCCAGCAGGGCACAAATATAGGTTGCGAGGCTGAGAGGGAGGGTAAAGGCTGTGTGGATGGGCACAGTGAACAAATGTCAAAAATCAGGGATGGAGGGAGGGTGGGCTGGGGTTGCAGCTCAGTGGTGGAGCATGTGCCTCCCACACACATGTGAGGCACTGGGTTCGATCCTCAGCACCACATAAAAATAAATAAATAAAATAAAGGGAAAAAATAATGAGGGATGGTGACTCACTGCAGGCCTGAAGGAGTTGGACCTAGAGATGCCATAGTCTCAGAAGCACATAGACACATCAGTGATCATTCCTTTCCAGTAGAAGTTGCTAAACCTTAACATAAATATGAAGAAGATGGTTATCAGTGCTCATGCTGTATGTAAAAGAACTACTGCATCCCTTGATGCAATCCAATCCATTTTAAAAATATGAACACTTAATTCTTTCTCAAAGAATTAATAATGACCTTTTATGCTTATGTATTCTTGGTAAGAATGGCCACCCTTGCTTTTTAATCTTAAAACTATTTTGAGTTCCAAAAGTCCTCTGAGAAATGCAAATATTCCTGAGCTGGGTCCCTCAGCTGTTCCATTTCCATTCTGTCCTCTGTGAGGGATCTATAATTATAATTGGTATAAAAAATAGGTCTGGGATTAATGCATTGATGTTGTCCTAGAGGACCAAAGGGAGCAGGAGAGATGGCAGCTGAGTCCCTCTAGGACAAACACTGGCCTCAAGGAGAATGTGAGAGTGAACACATTGGTTGGCTGAGCCACTGCACAGGATCTGGACATAGATACCTTTCTTTGCTCTCACCCCCCAGGGGCACTTTTCCCAGTATCTGCTTAGCCTAAAACATTTATTCATATTAAATCCATAGACTGTAAACAGTTTGGAACACAAGGTATTATGAAGTACTGTGGTAAATAAAATTTATAATAATTATAAGAACCTAATAAATAATGGTTACCAATACATGCCAGTAAAAAATGCCAAATGCCTTATTAAATGAATTGTTTGACTAAAGTTTTCCCACATCTTTATAAGGGAAAGCCATAATTATCCAGATTTTACAGATGAGGCTTAGTAGTGGCTCAGCTACTGAAGTTACTGAGGAGCTGGGACCCAAACTTAATTCTGCCTGATTCCAAAGACTAAGACCCCAAAGAGTGCAACCTGCTGGCTTCTAGAGTCTGTAGGAAATGTCACTGATGTCATGCTCAGATTCCTACACCTGAATGGTTCTTCCATTCCCCAGAAACTGGGAGCATTAGGCTGTGAGCTTATAGCTGCCTCTTCTCTGGTGAGCTGCTCTTGGCCTTTCCTGGTGAGCAGTCAGTGGTCATTGACTAGCTGATGCAGGTTTTCAAAAGGCCAGCTCCTTCCTTCAACGTGCAACCAGCTTTGAATATAATTCTTGCTTCAGTCAAGCCTCAAGCTGAGGTCACATTCATGCTGAGCTTAATTTCCTTACCCTATATTGTTCCCTTCACTACCCTCCATCTGAGGACCCATCCCAGTAAATCATTCTCCCCAGTTGCTCCTGAGAAGGATGCTGCAATGTAGCCATAGGGAGGTGACTGGGGAGGGCATACTTCTCAGTGAAGGCAAAACTGACTCCAAGACTTGTGAAGAAATGGGATGAGACCCAGATGGAAGGAAACTATGAGCTGGTGCACCAACTCTGGTATTTGAGAAGTATGGGGTGAACAGAAATTCTTAGGACTCTGGGAGTGAGTGGATCTTGATAAGGTCCTCTGATACACTGAACCGAGAAAGTGACAGGCTCAGACACATCACCAACTTCCAACCAAGTGTGGAAGTCAAAGCTCTTCCTTGGCAGCATCTAAAGAGACACTCGTCTTCAGCAGCTGAAGACCAGGCCCAGGAGTTAATTGTTAAGAGTGACAGAACCTCAAAGGTCTCACAGACTGGGCAATGATTTCATGCCAAAACCAAGGTCTTAATAGGAAAGGAGGAGACTCTGAGTCCTGGGAGGTAGACCTCTGGGTAGGTGCAAATGAGAGCCTTGAACCACCTGCTTCACTTGCACCATCAGGAGCGGCAGAAGGGGTCCCCTTTTCCCTGATAGAATATAATCCCTGCTCGGATCTGCCTCTACCTCCACCATCAGACAGGGTAAAATGTTGTTCTACACTAATTGTGGAAGTGATGGTTCTGCTAAGGAAAGGGAAAGGTTATACAGAAAAGGACTCGGCTTAAATGTACTACTAGCAGGAACTAGGAGATTTTTGCCTGGGAGTAAATCCCAAAAGTAATGGACCTGGGGTGAGTGAGAATATGGAGACTAGATAAAGGCTAATTTGCCAACATGGGCACATATCTCATGACACAAGATTTCACACCTTCACGAGGGCCACAGGAGAAAAGTAAGAGTATACTGTTTTCAATGGAGATGCTAACACTGCTCCGGCAGTGCAAGAAGAAAACAAAATGCTCAGAAAAAGGAGAATGGTACAATGAACCTACCAAAATCAGGATGGGGGAAGCTAAGGCCCCTGGGTCACATCTGGCCCACTGTTGGTTTTTGTACAGGCCACAAGCAAAAAATTGTATTTACATTTTCAAGTGATTAGGGAGAAAAAAAAATAAGTAATATTTCATGACACATGAAAATTGCAGGGAATTTAAATTTTAGTGTTTATAAATAAGGGTGTATTGGAACAAAGCCGTATTCATTCGTTTAAATATTATCTATAGTACTTCCCCACTACAATGGTAGAGTTGGAGTTTTGCAAGAGACCATATGGCCCACAAAGCCTAATTTACTATCTGGCCTTTTACAGAGAAACTTTGCCAATTCCTGTAGTAAGTAATTTCAAAATTCCAACAGTTGATTATGTTGGATCTCCTAGGGCAGATCCAGGGAGCACTTCTTGTCCTAAGGTGGGAATGGATGTGCTAGGGAGGGCCATACTAGCATCACTGAGAAGTCCATGATCTCTCTCCTCGACAGGCAGGGGCTGAAGTAGGTGATGCTTCTGCAGAACTGGATCCTTAGTAGCAATGGGATGCGGACACCCCAAAATAAGAAGGTGCAGATGGCAGCACTTTAGAAACGAACTGGATGTAATTACTGCAGGGGGAGCCAAAGAAGCCTGTTTCGGGGGATATTAAGATGGATAACAGAGCACAGTATTCCCAGG